CTCTCAGCACCTTCACTGTCGATGTGGTTTTAAAAGATTCACTCTCAAACACGGAAGGCAGCCTCTCAGAGAGCAGGCTGCTCTCCTGGCAGCAGGTCGTTTCCCCCGATAACGAGGAGAGCGAGGGGGAGAAAAAAAAAGGGAGAGATGGAGTCACATTTCAAGAGGAGACGGAGATGGAAGGAGGATGAGGAAAGGGGAAATGGACAGAGAGATGTGATGAGGGGGAGAGATGAAGAAGAGAGGGAATGAGGGAAAAGGAAAAAAGAGAGGCTGGCATGGGTGCTTCGCAGCCCTCGGCAGAGGCATTCAATGATTCATGGACTTACTCCAGTGATACCAGTGGGCCTCCTCCTTCAGTAAGACACACACACACACACACACACACACACACACACACACACACACACAGTGATACATGCAAGCTCAAAAACTTGAGCAAAGAGCTGTGCATTGCCCTGTTTGTGTTAAATCCTTAAATGCATTTTAGAGTAAGTGTTAAGTTTGACTTTTCCTCTTGTCCTTAAGAGAGGTGAAGCCAATAACTCAGACTGTATGTGTGTGTGTGTGTGTGTGTGTGTGTGTGTGTGTGTGTGTGTGTGTGTGTGGGTGTGGGTGTATGAAATGAAAGTAATGGTTTGAACGCTGTTGTTTTTCTCCCAGTGTGCTGCCTGAAGATGTGCCTGGGGATTGAGCGCTCTAACACAAACATCTGTTTTCTCCTTTTTTAAAAACCCATAACAAATACTAGCCCAGCACATTAACAGAATATTTAATATGCTCCACGATTCACTCAATTCTCCTCCTTTAAGTTAACACAAATCACTTGTACCATTGTAATCCCTTACCTGATAAAAACAGCATAATTCTGGAGCAGGGATATTATCTGTGGAATTACATTCAGTTAGTCTCGGGTTTGCTCAGCAAACACAGGAGTGGCACGTTCTCTCACGGAGAGAAGCTACGGTCAATTCCCCACGAGAGATAATCTCTTTTTTAGCAACTGTGATGGAGACGCCTACAGTCGGCATGGAGACGTGTTCCTAGCACGGTGGACACCACAAAGAGGTTTTGCTGCAAAGTGAGATATAAACCATTTGAAAAAGAGTGACACCTTCTCCCACAGAATGATTGATGCCTTAAAATTAAAACAAGCTTTATAAAGGATACTGAAATCCTCGGTTGACAAAATGATAGACTGTATCATCACTGTTGTAGATATACTGGATGACAAACTTGAGGTAATGATTTTTTTATGATATACAGCCTCTAAAATATTAAAAGTAAAGTTTTTATTTGAGAAAATGTTTTTTCCAACCTAGTAAGTCTAAACTTGTCATAGGTAGCAAAGTTAAAGGCCAAATCTGGTAATCCTGGCCCCCATTTTTACATATTATACTACTAAACTATTAATAGGTAGACAACGTTTTGGAAGTGGTCCAGCACTATAGAAAGGACCCTACAGAGGTAGACATTTTGTTAAAGAGTAAGATCTTCCTTTTTTATCAGAAACAACCGTTATATCACACTGTTCAAAGCTACATCATTTTACCTTGCACAGGAGTTAAAATGTGTTAAAGGTGCCCTGTGGTGTAAACACAACAAGTGATGTTTAGTGCGTTTTACTCACTAAAATGCATTGTGTGTTTCTCGCAGGTCCAACAAACGTGCTGAATGCATTTCCTTCCTTGTAAAACATTTGTAAAGATTTTTTTTTCCTTAAAAGTTTGAAACCTGCGTTGTTAACATCCATGTTTACTTGCTTCCAGTCTTCTTGCTCCTGACTTTGCTGCCACATTGATGTGTTTTTAGCACATTAATGCCGCCTGTAGATCAACGGAATAGTGTGAAACCATTGTCGGGAATGTGTTTCATGTCACCCACGTGCATGTGCATCCTCATGAGAACAAACAAATGGGGACCCACGCAAAAACCATGGCTCCACAGCACGGCTCATGATCATAAACTCCACAGGGAGCCTTTAAAGTTGAAGCAACTAAAACTGTTTGAGCTTGTGGTTGTGTTTCAAAAGCTATTGGTTGAGGTTGGTCACAGTTAAATATCCCCTCTAGACATGTATTAAGACGTATACAAATGACTGCTTGGAACAATAACTAAGCCTGATATGTGTTTTTATGCAAAAAAAAAAGTATAATTTCCACATTATATTTCTTGAAAAGTAATCTCCTTATACTTCTCTGAATATGCAAATGTTGTTCATTGCTAAAGTTTTCCTGCTAGACAGAAGATGTCTCCTACTTCACTGTACATTCTCAGTGGATGTGCACTGGTGGCTTCAAGTTTCTACATCACACTGTACAAGTTGCATTCTGGACCAGGGCTGACTTCCAAACTATTTGTGATGTCACAAATCATGCTGGTAGGCCCCGCCCCTTAAAATCAGATGTTCAATGAGCTCAGAGAAACTTTCCACTTTCAGCAGATGAATGTGAAAACATCCTTCTAGAGTCAAACTCTGCACATACATCATTCAAACAGCACACTGTAGGAACAAGAAGAAACACTATTTTTTTGACTGGAGAGGGACTTAAAAGAAATGTTGTTGACTGTTGGTAGGAGACAGAACACATCACAGTCTCTGTTGTCAAAGTTGTACATTTAACCATCCACCTTTTTCACATGGGAAACTGATGCTGTCAGTAGTGCAGGGACAGTAAACTGCGCAAAATGTGTCTTCAAGTTGATAGAGTTGCTTTTCAGTAAACTGAAATGAAATGAAACAATAGCTCCCTGGAGGATAAGAAGTCAACCTAAATACTGAACATGCTTTGGAAAATGGCTGTCAATAATTCAAAGTGTACATCATTTGTAGTTTAATAAAACATGCAAAAGTACAATATGGTCATTTAAGTTGACTTTAACTGTTCCATCCATCCATCCAAGCATCTCATCACTGGTTCTCAGCAGCCTCATGAATCTTTCTCTTTGCTTATCTATCGCTCTGTTCAGATGAGTCACCGTCCGTTGGTCATTATCGGGGGAAACCTCTTACATCTCTCCTCTCCTCTTCTGCTCTCTTTCTTCATCCCACGTTCACACTGAGAATCGTGAGCATCAATCGCACCACAGAGCTCATTTCATTTTAATTGAGACGTCCATGTTAAGATGGACATGAATATTACATTCCACAGGCCTATTAATATGCTAAGGCCAGTCTAAATGTTTTAATATTCGCAGTGTAAATTATTGAAATTGTGTTCATGGGACGCACCAGATCATTCGTCAGAAATGTTTATTCTCTGATGTTCAGGAAGCGATGGAATTTTAATCGCATGTGCTCCAGCTGAAATAGGACAAGATTTCCCATGATGCACTGCCACGTGCGCTTGACCACCCCTCCCTGTGCTGGTGACCTCCGTGTCACCATTTTTAGCTTTCTTAATTAGAGGGAAAGGCAAGGAGAGTGTGTGTGTGTGAGAGAAAGTGTGACAGGTATTTCTTTCTATATCTTCAGGCCTGTCTTTCTGTCTCCCCATCTGTCTTTGAAGTCCCCAAGCATGTCAGACGGACACACACACACACACACACACACCGGAAATTATTCTAAAAAATCCTCATCTGATGTTCCACTGAGCACAGACGCGTCGGGCAGCGGCCGTGGCGATAAAGTTGGCGTTTCGAGTGACTACACTCAGCAATTTAAAAAAAGGCGGCGGTGGCGGACGTCGTTGCCCGCGGTTGCACTCACACACACGTGCGGCATGTTGGAGAGGAAGATGGATCGGAGCACAGATTGTAAGTGACATGTTAATTTCTTCTCCGTCACTCACGGCAGAGGCGTCCGCTATCAAAGTAAAGGGACACGAGCCCCAGCCATCAAGGCTCTCCTCTTCTTTCTCTCATTTCTCCCTTTTTCTTCTCTCGTCTTCCTGTCATGGAGTGTTCCAGGTTGTGACTGTGATCAAGGAGATGTTTAATGTAGCTTTCTGCTCACCCAACTTCCAGGATGTGTTTGATCCCTTTCCTCCACTAGATGACTGCTCTTCATAAGCCCCCCGGGTAGCTTCTCATTGTAAAGGTCAAACTACATGTTTAGACACTAAAAGGAAGAAGGCTGACTGTTGTTGTGTGGGGTGTAAAAGGTAAAGAGTAAAGAGGTCACACTGGATTTATGATCTTTGCTCTCCAGCAATGTCTCTGCACCACTCCGGGCAGCCAGTTCAGGAGGTTACAGTGAGCAGAGCACAATTAAGTCCTGAGAAAAGCCAAAGAGGGTCAGTAATATGTTTTAATCGGATTCAACAGTCAGCATTTTTATAAAGGCAACAGAAGACTAGTTGTTTACAGAAGTACAAGATTATTTGCTGCTAGTGCACAGGAATACTGCATTTGCAAAGTGTTTAAATCCCTTGACAAAAAACCGAGACATCACAATCGTCCAGTTGAATCAGCAGTGTCAGCAAAGATTATAAATGCCACCAAAGTGTACTGTATGTTATTTTGTCCACACTTTTCCACAGTTATGAATGGTTCACCCTCACATGGACGTGTCACATTGTCCTATTCAACATCCAGTTTTAGCAGGAGAATTTTGGTTTATTAGGCCATGAAGAAATGTGCCATCATCGTCTTGCTTGGCTGTGTTTGCTTGTTCTTTTAATTTCAGTGTTTGCACATTTAAATTTACAAATGTTTAATGTGGCCTGCAGTGCACTGATAGCTGGAACTACTTTACTGTAGTTATGAGTGTTGCAGGCTGTGTGTCATGTTCTTCTGTTCTCACTGTTACCCATACAAGAGCAATGTAAAACGTTCTTCTGTTACCTTCAACTCCAGATCTCATTGTAATGACCAGTATCATTAATGTAAAGGTAAACAGCCAGCATAGGAGAGACTGAGGTGTATAACTGCTGGGAGATGAATTCTAGATTCAAAACAACCTGCATGATGTTGTCTGTGCTTCTGACAGTGAGTGTATTAACCAAACTGCCTTTCTCTCTCTCTCTTCTCTCTCTCTTTGTGCGTGTGTGTCTCTGCAGGCAGCCCTGGTATTATGGCTGGGGCTTCAACCTGCCGCGGGGTCAAGCTCTACTGGACAAGTGGAACCAGGTCCCCGACAACACAGACATCCTGGTCACACACTGCCCCCCACTGGGTGAGACACACATTACAACACACACGTATATTTTTATGTATGAGCTCACATAAACACGTTTGGATGCATGTGTTTCAATAGTATGTGCATACATAAACAACACATAGGGGTTCTCATGGGCATCAGTTTATTTAGTTACATATTAAAATGTACATTTAACATACATCTAAAGGTGCACAAGTATATACAGTAAATATGTACACCTCATACATACAGGTACTAAACATGTGAACAAGTAAAGTCAGTTTATACACAAATGTGCCCTGCAGTGTATTTATGAACTTATTAAGACAGCAGCTTATTATGCAGTCAGCTTCTGGACTGATCCTGGTACTGCCCTCCAGAATACATTATGTGAGCAGTGGTAGGTGGGATTTCTATGACATCACTGATACTGAAAATATCACTCCTTAAATAATATATCAGAATTGCTATTTAAATATTAGTACGGAAGCTGAGAATGGCATCGCTTACTATTATTTTTTAAATGTCATTATCTCGAGTAAACAAAAAAACGATTTCTCAAGATAATGAGAATTCATTACAAGGAAACGACTTTCCGAGATCACGCGATAATTGTGTAGAACTGGAAAATGAGTGTCAGGTTCATTTGATCCCAGCTAATTTCAGCCTTCAAGATCACTGTCAGGACTGTCGGGGAGGATTCATAACTGAACTGAAAACAGTTGTTAGCAGAATGTACACCTGAGAGTTCATTTAAGCTGTTCATTTCCTGACAGTGTGATGCAGTGCTGACAAAATGTATCAAGACAAGATTGAGATTTATTAAAGGAGCTCAAAGATTCTCTTCAGGCACTTTTTCCTGGCTGCTGGCTCATTTTGGTCAGTAGGAAGATGAATATGAACTGGCACCGTGGATTGTCCATTATGATAAACATTTAGTTTTCTTGAGATCATAAAATAATTTAACTTGTAATCTCAAGATACCAGCATTAAAAAGATAATTGCAAGCACAGCCGTTCTGAAATCAATCTAAATCAAAGATGCCCAAAATATACACAAGTCACTGCAACTGGTAGAGACAGATGGTGTTGATATGGATGTTATACTGGGGTAAATGCAGCTGATTGTACACTATAAATATAATAAATATAGAAAGCAACATGTCGTTGCAGCCTGTAGGGATTTTTGATTCATTCATTGATGGTCAAGTTCGATGAAAACAAACCGAAACTTTTTCAATTAACAACTGCCTAATCCGATGATAAGTTTACAGTTATATATGAGCCTATATTTAATCTGCACTATGTTTCTGCCTCATCTTCAGAGATGGACAAACGTCCCCCAAAACTGACCATCACAGACGCACCTTGCAAACACAAACTGCGACTCCAGGCTACTGCATTGATAAATACACTGCATGTGTTCACATCTGTGCCAAAAAGTTGCAGTAAATCTGTCCCTCAGTCCTTCACTGATTGATCGATTTATTTAATGATCTAATAATACTCACATTTTAAATACAAGGAATCTAGAAATAATGGCATCAGCCTATAAAACACCAGTTGTGTTTTATGTTTTGGGGATGACAGTGAGAGCACACAGAAACAAGGGATGCTGACATTGCAATTAAAGGCCACCATAACGCCCCCCCCCCCAGGTACCACATACACAACGGACAGTACAGGTAGGTGTCATATGTCTGCCGCTTTTACAATGTGAGTGTGCTCTGTAAATGGTTTATTTTCTTCTCAAATGAAAGAGAGCAGAGCCCGCTGATGAATCATTGTCCTATTATTGAGTGGATGAATAAAGGGTGAAGGGAATCAAAGTGATGACTCACGCAGGCAGAGCTGACTGCCTGAAAACACACTTCTACCTTTTAGAGGAGATTATTAGCCTTCTTAGTGATCACCTTTCAGCTTCCACACACTTGTGTTTCCAACCACACACACACACCCGTCACACGCAAACATGGCAAGAGTTTGAACAAAAACACAGATGCTGGCTCGCGAGCTAACTGACATCCTGTACACACGTCTCTGTCTCACACGCAGACGCTCACACACTCCTCTCTCTGACTCTCTCTCGCACACACACTTTCACACCTCATCTCCCGCTGCAGCTGTGGTGCTCAGACGAGTGTGTGTGATTGATTTCTGTGTCTGCGTCTCGGCTGCGAACACGGCCGTTTATTTTCCATTCAGCTTAGTGAAGTGTCTCCAGCTATCTGCTCGTAAGCCACCGGCATATGGAGCAGCTACAGCAGGCTACTAATGCATGAGACACACACACACTCAGAGCAAGACTGGAGGGAATGGCATGAGAAAGAAAGGAGGATAAAGTAAAAAGGGAATGACGACAAAGTGGATTCAAATTAAAGTGCTAGAGGCCAAGAAAAGACCTCCACTTTGGAGATGGTTTTAAAAAGAAGGAGAAACAAATGATTGGATAAGGTGAAGGAAAAAGAAGTGCGAGCAAGACATTGTTTCGCACTGCGACAAAAACGCCCGTCTTTTATGAGGCGCGATAAAGCCGCAGATCGGTGGCTAGAGAGGAAAAATATGGCCTCTTTATCTGGCTGTGAGGAAGAAGTTAACAGCAGAGAGAGAAAGAGAGAAAGTGAGACAAAAAGAGGAAAACAGGCTCAGTGCCCAAAGCAGCAGCTGCTTTGAAACAAGCAGCACATTAGAGCAAAATACCCCGAGACACAAAAAGCCCTCGTAACTTCTCACTTCACTTCCACCGTCTCCTAAGGCTTGTAAAGAATACACTTGCAGTTTTAAGGTATTTTATACCTAAACTGATACTAAAAGCGTGTTTTTTACAGGTAGATACATTTAGAGGACATTTAGTCAAACTGTATCACTTTACCAGCCTGACTGATTCACTGCCAGCTGAGAACATGGAAGTTTTTATGTCTGTGTTGAGTATGAGAGGGTCCATTAACTTTGCCTTGAGTGAGATTTTTAGCGCTCTGTTTGGTAGTAAAAAATAAAAATGTGTAAAGAATCTTAAAGTCATCCCCAGAGAGTCTTTCCCTTTCTTTCCTTTTGTACCGGTGAAGAGCTGCTTAAAGCTACCAAATCAAGAGACCTGCTACTGCTCTCTTGTCACACACAATTATATGGCCACAAACTTTTTTATAGATCTGGGGCTAGGATTTTAACTGTTTAGTTTTAATTCAAACTACTGTTCAAATCTGGAAGTTAAATATTATATCAGTAATGATCTATCCGAACTTAAAATTCAGCAAAGGCTCACACTCGAGTCTTCAAAATGAGGACTTAAGACGTCTGCCGTGAGACTTGGCTTACTTGAAAACTGACACTTGAAGGCAAAAGACAAAAAGATGCTCTGATTCACGCCTTCACGTTTCCAGTAGAAAAACATGTTTCTGTTGTTGTTGTTTTGGCCATTTGGCCTTTGGAATTAAGCAGGTAAAATGACAATTGACTTCGACTTGGATTTGTCCTTAAAGACTTTGAATACATAAGTGTGTTCACTTGCCACTTAAATCTTATGATTTGACTTGAACTTGGCCTTAAAGACTTGAGACTTGTGCTGTGTCTCAGTTTGAGTACTTTCATACTTACACGAACTATTCTGAGAAGTGTGTTCACACTGTCGAGGGTGGCAAAATGGGGATACTCACAGTGCACTGTGAGTACCCGGGTGGCGCTTTCAAAACGGTCAAAAAGATGAGTGTGGAACGCTGGAAACTTCTCACCCTCAGTGGACACTGTTTTTGCTATGTAGCGAAAGGGGGAAGTGAGTAGGAGGAGTAAACGACGCCGTACACACAGGCGGTTAAAGTAGAAGCAGGTTCATTTTTACTAACATGCTGAAATAATGGCTTAGAGTTAGAGTGGGTCGTCCACTAATTGGAAGGTTGTTGGTTCAATTCCGCTGCATGTAGAAGTATCCTTGAGGAAGCTACTGAACCCATCGGTGTGTGAGTGTGTGTAAATGAGTTAGTTTCTGTTCGATGGACTTTGCCATCGCTGTGTGAATGTGTGTGAAAGGGTGAATGTGGCATATAGTGTAAAAGCACTTTGAGTGGTCGGAAGACTAGAAAGGCGCTATACAAGTACAGGTCCATTTACTGTTTACCATAATGGAAGTATTTGAATTGAGACACAGCATTGGACTTTCCCCTAAAGACCTGACACTTGACTCGGACTCTTGGCCCTTAAAGATAAAATACTTAACTTTGGCTTGCCCTTAAAGACAAGAGAAAAGATTTGGCCTTGGCTTTTAAAACTTGGCCTAAAGATCATAAGTTACGTTACATACCTGACGTAATTTAAGTACATTACATGAGTCAACTTACGTACATTATTTTAAAGAAACTTTACTTTTAATTACACACGGGACATGAACATGAGTCTCCAGTGTTAAAGTCCTGTTTGTTTGGGCCATCCATCTAACCCTAACCCTTGCTGCAACTTATTCAAGGATTCTCTAGACCTCATCTGTCCAGATTAGGTTTATAAACAATAAGTTTATTTTACTTAAATGTATAAGTTTATGCTCCCCAGAGGATGAATACTACAATTTTTGTTGACCCACAGAAGGTCTCTTTTAGCACCACTCCCAGGCCAAAATTGAGACTTCTTTTACTCTATTTTTCTTTTTTCCTCTGTGTTTACTTCCTCATTCCTGTCTGGGCAGAGCAACAGAAGGCAGGGAAGATGGCGGCACAAGCTCCTCAGTCATTTTATTTCTCTGACTTGATGCTTTTATTGACTCAGCATCAGCAGCATCCCTCCTCTTGGAGCAGCCACTAAATCATATACACTCCATGCTTCATCCTTGTCACACACACTGTGAAGTCTGCCTCTGTGTGTGGCTGTGATTGATCTTTATTTTCTACGGCTGCTTTCTAAGAGTCTTTTTTCCTTTGTGCTGCGATGTGCAGTTTGCCATTAGACAAGGAGTCTGAAATGGAGAGCTTCATTTGAAAACGTGATGTATCGCTATTTGAAGGGAGATGAAATTTATAACCACCACAGAAAGACCAAACAGAAAATCAAACATCACACTATTGCCCATTAAATGCATTACCTAAGTTACATTACTATAACTGCCAGTGTCTTTAGTAAAGTAGGGATTAAACAGGTCATTGTTTTGTTCCAGTTATTTTTTTCATTTAGTCAAATCTGACAGAAAGTGATAAATGATGTTAAATTGGAATAATTAAATTAAATGAATTAAAACATGCATAACACTGCATTATAAGACATTTTACTCAGCATGTACACTAAGCTGCGCTGCATGCAGCACACCTTATGAAGTGAAAACCTATAGCCACCTTTAAAACAGCGATTTGGGATGTACATGTGGTATTGTTTATTTCCTGTTTTCTATTTTGGGCAATCATTTAAAAGTTTTCGAATAGTTTGAATGGTAAGATTAAGTTGTGGAATGAGTTAATGGTAACTATACAGCCTATTTATATTTACGAAGCAGACAAATATAACAGAGCGTGTGAGTACTGTGTTTGGTGTGAGGTGTGTTTGATTTGTGTGTCACTGTGTGCAGGTTTCCTGGACTGGGTCCCAAAAAAGATGCAGCGTGTCGGGTGCATGGAGCTGCTCAACACAGTGCAGAGGAGAGTCCAGCCCAAATTACATGTGTTCGGACACATTCATGAAGGTATATGCACGTGCTTCTACAAACACTTTTATTCACAAGTGGTTTTCAAACATCAGGTAAACAATAGTTTTAGTTTGACAGTTTTATTTATATGCAAGAAAAAACTAAATGCATGTGCTTTAAAATCACATGTCTGATTTGAATTCAGGCGTTTACAAACAAATACAGTTTGTGTACACATGTAAGGGTTGTGACACAAAGCTCTGTAAACATGTCACTGAATTATCCATTCAAATAGTAAAGCATGGAATGTATCTGAACCCCCAAGAAAAGCTGTGTCTGTTAAGGGTTCCAGGTGGAAATGAATCAAACAGAATGGAGACAGATTGAACAGTTTCTCTTTAAGAAATAGAAGCTCTTATGAGGAGAGACCCAGTAATATACAGATAGTTTAGATTTTTTGACAAAAATTTGAAAGCTATTGACAAAATCTGAAAAGCTCTTTATATACAGATTTATATCATCTAACAAATAATAAATCTTGGATATCTTGCTTTCTATAAGTAATCCCAAAAATAGCCACACAACTTGCATATAAGAATTTCCTTGATATTCCTGATATTTTATGATAAACAATGGTATGTTATATAAGAAAAGTCAGACAAAGATGCTGGAGATATGGGACTTTGTTCAACTCCGCCAAGAAGGAAGGGCAGCAGGTACCTGAAATGCAAAATCCGACATAGTGCTTGTAAAGCTTAAAAGTCTGCTGTAATAACTGAAGATAAGCATTTAAACATATGGATGGAGGACAGTTTAGTGTTCTTTCAGTGAAACAATAAAAGTTAGAAGGACAAAAATAGGATTTTCAAAACATTGCTTCCACCCCAGTGGACATTACACCCTTGACTGCACAAATTCAATGCCGTTTGTATCTGCTCCCAACACATTACCTGTTCATCAGAGTCAGAATAATGTATGTGTATTCGCTTACAACCCCACATATGTACACATTTTTGCAATATGATGTTGTTTAAGTCAGGAGTGTACTCTAAATAAACTAATCCCCCCCCCTTTATTTATAGTACACAGTTTAGGCTCACATAAATCCTAATGACCTGAATTCGCAGGATGCAATATCATATTTAGCATCAAACTAAAGAAGTATCTGTAGTTGTCTTTATCACATTCTGAAGGCGGCAGTTAATTCACACACATTTCCATATCTTAACACCTAAACATTTACCCTATTATATAAATCAGACCGTCACATATAGATGTAGCACAAATAAAGCTCTTTCATCTAGAGCTCAGTATATTATCTTTTCCTTAAACTGAATCTTTTGAAGTTCATTAAATTGAACTGAATTGACAGAGAATTTAGTTCCCACCATGCAACCTTAGAGAATATGGTGATACTGTACTATAGTTTTCCAAGAATAAAATGATTAAAGTGTATTAGTGAATAGCTGAGCTGCCACATCCCTATCAGCAATTCATCCAGGCCGGCGAGGGCAGAGAGGGCGTCTCCCTGGACTGAGGATTGCTTTTTTCAGGGTTATCAGGTCAGCACTGAGCCCGTGGAGCAGCGGTCCCCCATCAGAGACAACCAGATTAGAAACTAGATCAGATTTTCTAACAGGAGAAAAGGGCTGAAAGCAGCTCTCTTTATTAATGTGAGGCAGAAGTGATCCACGCTGTGTTTTGTATTCATGTATTCCAAATCTGAAAGGACCAACAGACATTCTGTTCCAAAAGACGCTGAAAGTGACACCTACACTTAAAAAATCACTCAGAGTGCAAAGTTAAATTGTAGTACTTTTTGAGAGATGGGAGTTAACTTATGCTTGACAAAATGGTCACACTCTTACATCTGCCATTTGGAAGAAATGTTGATCCAAAGTGCCTTTTGAGCAGAGATTTGTGGTGTTAGTGTCACACTCTCATGCATACATTTGCTCAAACTGTATTCTCGCTGTTGTAGAAATGATGATGTGCTGTGATACTGAGCATTTGGAACAGTGGCGTTTCTCGTTTGCACATTCAGAGATTCCGTCTGATTGACAGCGGACCCCGGTGCTTCCTCTGATCTAATTTGATAATTTAATCATGTATTGGGGAATATTTACTGAGGATTTGCGTCCCTTTTGGGAGACTTAGTTTTAATAGTAAGCAGTAAAAATTCCATGTTTATTAAAGGGCAGCACTGAAGTATTGCATCAATGTTATAAAAGAAAACCAGAGTTTGGGTTCAAGCAACATTTGATTTGACTTTATTATCAGAATATTCATGTAAGGCCTTCCTATTTAGTGTTACAAGAAATGTTTTCTCCTCATCTGAATACAAAATGTTTTAGAGTGGAAATCCAACTTTTGTGCTTTATAATTACAAAGTATATGTTGATTAAACAGTGTAAAGGCTATTCAATTTTGACAACATCTGTGTTAAGATTGGTTCCCTACAACATGGTGGTTCATATCTGCAGACAGCACTGAATGGTTTTATTTCTACCTCAAAGTTTTTCCCTTTTTATGACATAGGTCTCCCAGAGGCCTGGTGGTATACATGCTGGTGTGGACAGTCCACTTCTTTGTGTGGCTTGACATTGGATACAGGCTGATCATGTGGCCACATACATACTGTTACCTTAAGTATAGAAAATGAGAATAACCCTCTGCCCCCCACAAAGGACATGTGCTCATAAATATAAAACAACATACACTAAAAAGCCCAGGATGTCCTCTTAACAGGACATTAGGACTCAACTAGACTGCATGCATGGTGTTTGAAATAAAGACTTCAGTGTCATGCCTTAGGAGTTCACAATAGCTTTTGCCTCTTCCCAAATTCTTGGAATACCACTTGGAAACGCCGAAGTGGGGGGGTTTTAAAGTTGTCTATTTCCACTTTAACCTAATTCACACCTGTAAGACAGGAGGATTGGAGAAATATAGACACAGGTGCTCTATGTTGTACAGTTTGAAAACGATCAACTGTAGCTTCTTTGAAAACTGTGCTGAGAGCGTGCAGGAGCTCACCTTTCTCATTTCTACCCAGGTTACGGAATGATGACTGACGGCACCACCACGTACATCAACGCCTCGGCCTGCACTGTCAACTTCCTACCCATGAACGCGCCCATCGTCTTTGACCTTCCAAACCCCAGGACCACATGACTAGAGGAAGCTGGCCCCAAAACGCCTGCCGCCAGTCAGGAGAAAGGAGCCAGGAGAGGCAGGTGAGGTCGGTGGGCAGAACGGGACTGAATTGTGTAAATATACGACGGTCAGCTGTGTGTTTGACGTGACACATACGGTACATGAAGATGGAGCGGACTAAGCGAGGGATGGATGCTCGCTCGCGCTATTAATGTTATTTTATGTGCCATAATTTCTTCATCTCAACACTGAGTCTACTTGAGGAGACACTTTTACATGTGGACAAACGGACACTTGTCTGTGCCCTCTTTTACTGCACTGACAATCTGATGTGGTTCTTGGAGAGACGAGAGACACCCTGACATCCCCTTTTCACTTCATTTAAATGGACTGCAAACGTTTGGAGTAATGTGAAACCCAACGCCTCGTCTACAGGAGTTCTGGTTAGAGCCACCGCTCAACAGCAGCAATGGAACATTTGCCGGGGGGATTTTAACAGAACTTTTCTGCTCTCCCACTTTTAAACATTCATTTCTCATTTTCTTTCCCTCAGTCCTTCGTTCTACCACCCTTCTTATCTTCCTCCTGTTTCTCCCCCATCCTCAGGCCCAGAGCGTGCTGGAGTGTGTGGGGTTTTTTGCCAGCTCGTGTGTATGTGAGATCAAAGCAAGTGTGTGAGGGCAGCAAAAGGTCTCTGCCATGGGCTGTGTGAGAGTCGGGGTGTCAAACATGTTGACACTGCTCCCCTGGGCCTCATTACAGCCCTCATAAGCCTCTTAGCCGGCCGAGAAGAGGCCACAGAGGAAACCACGCACAGCCCCCCTCCCTTTTTTTTGTCCTCTCCACTCCTCCTTCCATGCTTTTGCCTTTTTTCCTTCCCCTCTATCCTTCATGCTGTGAATGACTAGCTCAGCTCTTTAGCTACGGGCTTTTCGGACTTGATAAAGAGGTAGCAGCAGGTAACAAACAACGTAAAGGTGCTACATGCTAACGGAGCGGTAAATGGTGGGAGAGATGGAACATTTTATCCTTTTTCAGGAGGACTAAAGCTGTAACTACACGTACTGTAACTGGTCTATGTAAATGTTCTGTCAATGTAAAGAAAAAAAGGTTTTCAAGAAGATTTCCAAGTTGTTGCTATGCTTTAAAAAAAAAAAAACTTGTCAATATTTGTGGTTGTTACATTTCCTTTGGTCTATTTCTTAGTAATGTAAATGCTTATTATGGTATTTTCTTCTGTGTGAAGCTGCTCGGCCCCATTTGGTGATTATTAACTCTTTTATGTCCCTAAACAGTTTGTCTGTGTTTTAAAAAAAAGAGCTTTTCTTTTTTTTCCCCTTTGCTCTATTTTCTGAATAAGTCTGTTCTCAGTAAGAGTCTGAATGTGCTTAGCATAACGAGACCACGTCACACTTTGATCTCCCTGCTCTCCGACATTATGTATGAACGTTCCCCGAGGCTGCAGTTTACTCCCGCTTTACTCTCTCACATCAGCGCTCATTGTGCCAGCTGATGTCTTAATGTTTCCAAATGGGCAAAGGAGGAAAGAGCGGCAGAACTGCTCTCCAAGAGACCAATGTCTGTGGATAATGGTGGGTGCGTGCACTGCCTGAGTGTCTGTACACATTATGCTAATGTTGTGTGGAGCAGTTTGAGTTTTAGGTGCTTAAACTGAGGACATTTTTGGCTGATCTTCACCTTTTAAATGGGAACGGTTAGGATTAGGGTTAAGTTTAAGACTTGTACGCAGGGTGTATAGAGGCACTGCAGCTTAATAACACAGATAAATATACATCAAGCACATCATTTCAAAATTTGGAGTCCCTAGAACACAGACAACATGCTGGTCTGATGATGTCTTACTATAAAACCGTGAGGATAAACAGTCAAGTTTGAAATGCAGAATCTTTTCGGATGAACATCTTCAATGAGAACTCTAGTCCTGTGATTTAAATTCAACTTTATCAAGATATTGTACCACCTGGAGCACTGGTTTCTAAAGCTATGGTACACAGAGGAAAAAATAATAAATTAAAAACATTAGTGGTGTAAAGATTTACTAATATGAGTCGGAAATCGGTTTCAACATAATAGATGCAACTACATTGGCTCAATCTAAATGTACCATGAACCGCTCAATGGTCCGATTCTAAAATTACAAATCAGTTGACTGAAGCTTTGCTGCTAACAGCGTCTCCACGAAAAAGTTGACCTGGATGATTGCGATAAACGTTTACGGTCTATAGCTGTGTCTCCATCAAAGTCATTTTATGTGTGTTCTGAAGTATAGCGTTAGAAAAGGTTAAACAAAATTAAAAGCAAACCTTTTCAACTTTGCAAAAAAGTTTTTCCACTCACTTGAGCCAGTTTTTGCGTTTTTCTAAAAAAAGAGTTACTGCGCTTACTGGAACATGGAAACACTTTTCAAATAAGTTCTGACGCAGTGAACATTTAACTCACGTGACTAATGAGCCGCTGCTGCTCCGACAGACTCCTCGTCACTCCCGTGGCTCTATAACACAGCCATGATCGCTGCACAAAGATCTGATGGAACCTTCCTCACATCGATACCTGAAACAAACAGGATAGAAATCTGATGTTTCTGTTTTAATTGGCGCCACCTACTGCTTATCTTGTGAATCAACTACTAATAATCGCATAAGAGTAGCGGATGGAAACAAGCTTTCGTCCACATTTTATTTTGTCTCGAAATTCTGTTAAAGTTTGCGACACATTTGGGTGGAAACACGGCTTATATCTCCAGTGATATCAGATAAATACAATCTGGATAAAACTGCAATAACTCACAGCTAACTTTCCAACAACACTGATGGATAATCAACATCGCGTATCTGCAGCATTTTTCTAAACATGGCATATGTCTTCACCATGAAGTACTAAAACTATTTAGGAGATATTGCTTGTTAAATTACCAAAGACAACGGTAGGTTTACTGACCACAACTGGCTAATATTGACGCATGTGCAGAGTAGGTGAAGGGGATTTACATTTGATGGCTAATAATGAATATTTTGAGGCAAACTCAAGAAAAAGACCATAGAAAGTGACAGTATTCAAATAATAATAATAATAATAATAAACAAACAAAGACTGTTTAGTAAAAAAAGTTAAAAGAGGTGAAGTCAGTCATGTCATATATTGCTGTGCTGCTCTGAGTTTGATTACTGTTAAGCTGACATACTGTAGATGGAATTTAGCACTTCTTGAAGAGGTTTCACATTAAAAGCATACTAGGAGAGGAGCGGTTATGCCCTTTCAGCCACTAGAAGGTGTTTGAGAATTGACAGTATATTAAAGTTTCTTTTGTCAAGCAGCGGCAAACTATTTCTGCTCAACACCTCAATTGTTTATAACAAACAGTTGCACCATTTCCTCTGTAGCAAGTCCCACTCCACTAATTGGTTTTGTTGGATCAGAAGGACAAGTAATGGTTCTCTCAATATATCATTACGATCCCCTTCAAAGAAGCAGGATTTTAGGCTTCAAGTGGGGAGATTTGAGATCAGGGTTAGCAGTAATAGTCTGAATGTTTGTGTTTGTGTTTTAGTTTGAATTAAAACACAAACGTAATTAATGCCTACGACAGAAAATGTTCCAAGAAAGGAATAAAGGGAACTATTTAAAACCAAAAGATGGGAGGAACTTTCATCTCTAAGTTTCATGAAAAGCTGTCTGTTCAACTCTCCGCCAGTTCCAGTCCTCATTTAGATGTCTCACTTTGATGCTCTTCCGCTTTCAATAGCTGTGTTATGTGTTTCCTGTTTTTTCCCCCAAAAAGTGCTGTACTATTTCTTGATTTATTTCTTGAGGCATGCTTAAAGGAGTTAATGACTTCTGCTACTCAGACAATCTGCATATGAAGAGTTTTGTTCCAAAATGAGATATGTACTGTTTGAAAAAAAAAAAGGACGCCTACGCAGGCAGAATGATTGACAGCTAAAACTTGAAAGTAAACTGGTGGTACTTTTTAAAGGATTGTTAGTGTCCTTGGTAACATTTTTACTGGCTGGATCCTCTATATCTCAACAGTACTGGATGGTTATGGGCTTCAGGTCATTTTCTAAATGGATATATGGCATTTTGGAATGAAAGTGTTCATATGGTATTGTATTTTGCTATTGTTGTTGGGGACTTTTACATTTTTTAAACTGTAAAACAAGAAAATGGAGACCCAACAGATGCAAAATGTGACTGTGTTGCTCCTGGAGACAACTCTAAAAATGTATAAAGTACCTTTCTTTCTTAAAACCATTAAGGATTCTGCTGGTTCTAAGAGATTATTCACCGATTGAATAAAACCTTATCTGTGACCAGTGGATCATGCTCCCTTATTTCCATCCTCGCTCTTCCCTTTTGTCTCTCCCTTCTTGTTCTAGAGGGGGAAAAAATTAGAGGCGGAGAGGAAACTTTTCTCATCCCGGTTCTTCTCTTTTGTTCCGATCAAAGGCATCTGTGTCTCGTATCAATTATAGAGCCCAGAGCAGCGAGTTAATTTCCAGTAGCTAAACCCTCACCGCTCTGTCTCTGTCTCCCATTTTGTTCTGCAGGTCTTCCACACCTCTGCACATTCTAATGAGAACCCTCGTTCAAATAATTACATTAGTAATCCCAGGGGGAGACCGGGTAATTTATTCGCAGACGGCTTTTTACTTTGCCATTAATACAACTAGCTTTCATATACTCTTCCTCCAGCTCCCTCCCTCTTTTCTCACTCTGCCTCTCCAACCACAATACTGAGCTTTTTCTCAGTTCTCATCGTCCCCTTTTTCCATTTCCATCTGCTCTTCCGTCTCTCTCAGCTTCCTCAGATAATGATTCCCAGCTCTCTCCTACACTCTCTCCTCTCTGAGTGCTACTGTGTATCTTGCTGCAGTAGCGTTTTCCTTTGAATGAATGACAGACGTCCCCTCTATCTCCTTGTCATTCTTCTCACTTCATTCTACCCATCTGAACAAAAGATGCACCCAGTGCTTCCTGTTGGCTGCGTCATTAAAAAGGCACTGCATGGCTGATTGGCTTTGGAACACAATCAGTGTCAAACAGTCAAGATTGAGAACACAGGGAAAGCCTCTCAAATCGTTTATCAATCCCTCTTTGTTAGTCCTCATTTTTTCATGTTTTTCAGTCATCAATTCCCTTGATGGATCTATTTGTCGTATCAGTGGCAGATCAGATTTGAAATTCTAAAGTCTTGCTGCCAGGGCCACATTAACCCACCAAAGGGTCCAGGGGCAAAGATGAGGGGTGGGCCCTGAGTCTTCCAATCCCTTCCCATTTTAGTTTGTCATCGTACTGCACACCAGACTTATTAATGAATATGCCAACCCAGTAATAAGTGTAATACACACGCCAGTCCAAAGTGGCAGTGTCACATTTTCAACATGTGCTCATTCCACAGTCAAGTTAGGACTAACAAATATCTGTCTGGTTACACTTTCAAAATAAAACTTGCTGAGGTCCCAGTTTGGTTAGGTTTGGCAACAAAACTACTTGGTCAGGTAAAGGAAAAGATTTTAAGTTCCAGTCAGAACTATTCAGTTCAATTCAATTCAATTTTATTTGTATAGCGCCAATTCATAACAGAAGTTATCTCAGGACACTTTTCAAATAGAGCAGGTCTAGACCGAACTCTTTATAACATTTACAGAGACCCAACAGTACCACCATGAGCAAGCACTATCGGCACATTATGGTTAAGGTCAGGGAATTGTTGGTGTGGTTAATAAAAAGGTTGAAGTTTACTGCACATTTGTGAAGTCAGACATGCTACAAACTGATGCACCACCCAAAAATCCCTACCCTTACTCTCCAGCCCACTACTTAAAGGGAACACTATTTCCTGTGTTGGCATTGAATGTTAATCTAAGGTTTTTCCAACGGTTGTTGAGTTACAGAGAAATACGTTTTCAGGAGATTTAAGATTAGGGAAAAATGCAGAAGCCACTTTGAAGTGCTCACCATTTCAGTTTATATGTTGCTTTTTATAGTCAATATTACCGAATAAATTTGCAATGAATCAAATTACAAGTCATTGCCAAACACCGGACCTGGCCCCCCTGAGTGTGTGGGGCCTCAGGGTAGTTGCCTGTTATACCTAGCTGGTTGCTTCCTGAAGCAGCTGCAGGCATCAGAGTGAAGGTCAGTGAAGAAACGCCCAGAGGAAGTTGTTGTAGCAGATCTTCCCCGTGGTGTTGGCATCGAAGTAGGAGCTGAGGTGGAAGAACTCCTCCTCCGACAGATTCACGCTGAAATGGCGCAGCACCTGCAGGGCAACAACCACAGAAGTTGGAATTTGCACATAATGTTTGTGTCCTAGCTTATTAGGTGGGGGTTTAGGACACGTCATCCCTAACCAGGTTACTAATTGTTTCTATCGATTAGCTCAGGGAGCGTTGTCTTCAGTCAATTGCACAGCAGGTAAATGACAGGGACAATAAAACAGGAGTGTCAGCTGCTGTTCTCCTGGGCCAAAATGTCAGCGTGGTCTTGTTTCAACCTTCAGTTTAATTGAACAATTAAAATTACTGATTGGCTGTCAAGTGGTGTGTGTGTGTGTGTGTGTGTGTGTGTCTTTGCTAGCTTGAGCTTCATGGATTTTCAGTCACTCTCCATCATTCTCCTTCAGACATTTTGATAGAAGAGACACAAGCGGAGCTCAAACAGTTGCATCAATAATTCATAAAGAACCAGTTTATCATTGACTGATATCAGGTGGAGTTCTGCAGGGCGGCGTGCTGTACTGTAGTGGACCTCACCTTCCTGAAGTCCCGCACTGAGATGATTCCCGTGCGGGTGTGGTCCGATGTCAGGAAGCAACGTCTGATGGAGGTCCAGGAGGAGCAGACCACATCGTAGATCCTCAGCATGACCTCCACACAGTCTTTGCTCAGAACACCCTGGCTCGTCTGGACCGGAGCAGACCGGACAGAGTACAAGTCCCAGGAAAGACATGAACAACGAGAGAGAAAACAACAAATAGAGGTGAGAGCCCCCACATTATCGGTAATATTTCACTTCTTCACAAGAACAAAGTGTTTTTTATTCTGTGATCAGATAAAGAGGTTTTGTCTGTAAACTGGTCTACAGACACACCATCGAATCAGAAACGATGCAGGGGGTCTCTGCAATTTTACACAGATGGTGGCGTCGGTTGAGACAATGCAGGTCTTTGTGATTCCGAGTTGGTTTGGAAGGTTGCAGCTCGTGGGTTGCCAGATTAGGCCCTCACCCACACGCTCCGTCGAAGCTTGGGGCTCGGCTTAGTTGCTCAGCGGGGGTCCTTTTAGAACATGCCCACCCGTGTGTCATTGTTCAAAGCTTCATATACACCTCCCCCGTGCCAAAAAAAAAAGCACTGCAAATCACCAAATTCGCCCAATTTGCTTGTCATGGGAGGCGATAGTCGAGAGCCTGAGGGTGGGAGGTCCCCGCTGAGTTTACACAATCTGGCAACCCGCCGTCGCCCATCACCGCCCCCTCACATTCCAGAGCCACCCCTCCCACTTTACTGTAACCTAATTTAAACTTGCAGCCAATAAAAGTACAATAGATCAGACCTTAAGCAGAGGGACTACAGAGTTCATTTGAACTGTGCTAATGTGCTGCTCAGCATGTGTAGCTGACAGTACATACTGTGTCCCAACTCCAACTCCAGCTGTGGTGACTGTCTACACACTGGATGCATGACGGGAGAGTATATTTTCAAATGCTAACATGCACTCTTAAGTCATTTGATTTAGTGTCAATATTTTGTTTGGCTGTACCTTATAAGTTAGCCTACCCTATATAAGGTTGTATACATTATAATTAATGGCTTGTTAATGGTTAATATAGGAAGAAAGAATCGCTGCATGGCTCTGAGGCCGATCCCACAGGTGCTCTTTAGTTAGGCAGGTGAAGGTTAACAAAGACCAGAAATCCAGGAAATCTTGTGCAGATAACCATGGTTATGGTTGCCCATGCTCGAAGAATAAATTCATTATATTGATTTATCTATAGTCAGTTTTTTTTAAAGTTGGGTATCATTTGGGGTTTTTCCCCAACACCAGTGCTAAAACTGTACCAGTGCCTAAACGGTGCCTACACTGATCATTTAAAAAAAAAAAAGGAGCACAAAGTGACGGTCAACATATTTGAACTTGAAATTGACCAATATATTAACTGTTTAAAGAATATTTAAATATAATATTAATAACTACAAAACATGTAATAAATGAACAAAACCTAATCCATCTACAATAATTTAACACTACATTTTGAGTTGTTATTCTACTCCAGCTGCAAACTTCAGCAAATCTTTTGCAGAGATATTAGAATCAGTTTTCTATCAACCTGAGGAAAGGCTGCTGTTGTCTTCATCATCAGTGGTCTCTAAATGGCAAGTCAATTATGACACATCTAGTGTTTTATATCTATGTGCCCCAGCTCCGTGGCCTCACTGTCGTCACACAGGCAGACAATCCCTCTGCTCGCGAGTGTATCCCATGTGTCACCGGCTGCTTCCCCATTTACAGGTTCTCAAACATTTGTTGCATGTCCCACAGGGTGCTGAACTCCTTTAGAGTTAAATACAGTCGCACTTTAAATCATTTGGCTCGCCATTTTAACCGTGTAGTAAGAGTGTTGCTGTAATGTTAACTAGCAATGCCTCTGTTGCCTGCTCAGGCACCGAAACAAGGCTCCAACATCTGGGTTGTGATTTGGTCTGCTAGATTCCAGTCGTATAGGAACCATATTGGCACTGCTGTGTTTCAGTGCCCAACCTAGTCTTTGTCCATGGTTATATCTGCACCACTTGACATTAACCAAGATTCCCTCATGTGGATGACGTAGCCACAGGTTCACACTTAAAATGAAGCAGATAAATGGAATTCAGTCATCATTTATTTCATTTACACCTGTCTACTATGTCAAAATGTCTTTCATAAAAAAGAAAGGCCTATTGAGATTGATGATGAAATGATTTCATGGGCTATATTTAAAGACGTTATCTGACAGAAAGACTACGACTCACTCTCGTATATGGACGGACAGATACATATCTCTTTTGGATACATTGTTTCCTAAAAGAGGATATGTGATTTACAAAACAGATCCGTGTGTGGCAGAATAAACAACTTTTTCCAATTAGCTCATGATGTCTGTTCAAGCATATTAGATGGATCTGGGACACACTGATTGCATGCAGACACTGAACAGCAGAATAAGAATCTTACCGGTGTAATAGGAGGTGGGAGTTTACGACGCTCAAATGCCCTCTTGGCCTCCACTGGTTTAAGGTTCAGGAGGAAGTGACGGAGGAAGTTGTGATATGAAACACAGCCATTATTCATGATGTCAAACTTCACAGCCAGATGCTCAAACTGCTCCCGACTCACATCGATGCTGAGAGAGTGGAGGATCTCTGTAACACACAGTCATTTGCATGTACATTAGCATTAGCAGGTGGAAGGAATAGCTCAGTGTCACTGTTTGTTTGCTGCTCACCCAGGAAGGAGGTAGTGCTGAGGTGACCCTCCTGCTGAGGGTCTTCCTCGGCACACTTTCTTTGGATCTCCTTCCAGCAGTGCTGCACCGTCCCACGCAGCGTCCTCCCTGTGCTGCCCAGCGGGCTTCCTGTTCCTGGCCTCCCCACTGAGAGAGGACGCCTGGAGGTGCACTGGGGGGCAGACTGGGAGAGGAAGGAGGGGCAGTCAGGAGGGGGGCTGCATAACTACACTGAAGAAAAGTGTCATATTAAGAGAGGTTTGTACTAAGCAGCTGATTCCAGGCACAGGTGTGTCTACACGGGATTCCTGAAATAATTCCAGGGTCTTTACAGCCGATGCAGAACAAACGCTCATATTAGCTGCAGTTTTAGGCAAATTGACTAAATTAATTTGGCCACAGCCCATAGGTAACAAATCCCTTAAAGCAGAATTCATTTTATTTTGCAGAAAACTATTCTTCTAGAAAGTGAAAGCGTTATTCACGTACAATAAACACTGTGTGTCTGTTGATGAACCACAGCAAAATGAAGTTTGATCATTAAAGACTGTATGTGTGGAGATATGAGAATTCCACTCGCAGCTCTGGAAAAAAATAGGAGCGATGCCAAAAAGATCATTGTAAGTCAGTTCCACTTTGCATCTGGTAAACCCGCTTTGAAGTGTCAAGTTGGGTTTCAAACAAAACACACACCTAGATTTACACAGGTCATCTGAGAGAGGGGCTAATACACTATATACTATATTATTAATTATTATTTCCAGGATATTTGGTCATTTTAATCCATTTCCAGGTGTTTCCATGACTAGTCTCAGATACAGTTTCACTTAATGTCTGATAAAAAACTAATGTATTTTAAAAGCGAAAGCTAGTTGCTTTGATCATTTCACTTCTGTAGTGTTGAGAACGTACTGCATTTGGCACATTAGTTTGCAAAGATGAAAACTCAGCATATAATTTAGTATATACAGTACATATAGTTTGTACACTGAAAATATGAAGAATGTTACTAACTCTTGCAGTTTGGCTACACTGAACAGGCGTCTGTGTTTAAGATGATTTCAAGTTTTCTGCACAGTGAATGGCATTTGTCTAAACTCATAACTCATAACTCACTCAAACTTCATAGAGCTGGTGCTTCTGTTTCTTTGCTCTGTCTTTTTGGTGTGTACAGTCCATGTGGACCTTCAAACACACTGGCAGATATCAAAATGGACATCAGATGGACCCATGTGGCCATGCATACATACACACAAAGTAACACCCCCCTCAGCTGTAACTGGTCTTCCTATTTTCAACTATTCAAATATGGCGGCTGTCAAATATCCCCAAGTTTTTGCCCCATGTTATTTGTGTGTATTTGTAGTCTTTTTCTAGAGTGCTGCAGGGATGACCTATTTTTGTAGGCCAACCTGGTAGTTAGCATTGTGGCTATGTGGTGAACAAAGGTTTTATGATACTGATGTTTTTTCAAGAAAGATAAACACCACTTTTATGATTTTTGCAATCACCACAAGTAAAAAGCTAACATTAGGCTATAAACAAAATATATATATATTTCCAACTTGTAATTAAATCTTGTAATTAAAATGTACAGGTTGTAAAGTTTGAGTTAGAATAGTTTACAGAGCGCGAGTATGAACACAACAAGGCTGTAAAGGAGGACTAGTGAGTAGATCAGTCTGTGTGTTTTAATGTCACCGACACCCTCTGTAGTCTCATTTAGCCACTTGTTAGCAACTGCCTTTTTTAAGACACGTAAAAGCTTTCAAATTCATAGTTGTGACAATCTCTCAAGCTTGTGTTAACCTTGTTTCAGGCATTAGCCAAAACCCATTCGACACACCCAGTGACTTTGAGGAGAGGGAACCTGAGGTGTTACAATGCTAACTCATTTCCGGGTTTAAGAACTCATTACTGCAGCACTCTATTCACCTCAACAGCTAATGTACTGAGCGTACATTTGTTAGTTGTAGCCATCAGACCGTGTGTGTAGTGTGTGTGTGTGTGTGTTGATGTGAAAGTCGAAGTCCTTTTCTGAATTTCCACTTGGGTTGAATCATTTTTCAACTCTCACAGATTCGTCTTTGCCTCGACTTGCAGCAATCTCACACACTGACAAACAGCTCACTGATTGGTCTGACACAGGCTCAGCTGATTTTTTAAAATGCATTTTTGCAATAGCATTATATTCGTGGCTCAATTCTACGACATTTGGAGCACAGAAATAGATTTTTAAGAATAGTTAAATTTGAGCAAAAGAAGAAAAAATCAGTTCTCTGCTCAATAAATGTATTTAGCCCCATAAGTGCACAATAATAATCTCTCTCCTTCAGTTTCACTAATTTATTTTCCAACTCTTACATTTCCTGCTCTGTGTGCGAGATCCTGTGATTAAGTGTTCAAGGGTGTGAGCGCACAAAGCAGGAAATTTGACAGAGTGAGGGGTTATTATTGTGTGCTCATGTTGAGCAGAGTTTATTTGCTCAAATCCAAATTTGTTTTATAATAATTTCTCAAAAAACTATAATTTACACTTTTGTGACAAATCTTTTCCTGTGCTCAAAATGTCACATCGCACACTCAGGAATGAAGCACGGATATAATTCTGCAGTTTCCAGACCTAAACTGAGTTTGTCTGGCTTTGCGAAGCAGCTGGTGTCTTCATGCATCACAGATCACACTGCAGCATTCAGCAAAGAAATTCTAACTAAGGCTAAGGTTGACATAATTCATAACTGAGCTTATTATTTGGGGTTTTTTATTATTATACAAGAGCAACGATAAGGTTTGACAAATGTCAAAGGTCTATCGATATGTGCTGTACCTTAGTGCGTTGCAGAATGGCACCTGCAGTTTCTCTGGGCTCAGGGGAAGCCAATGGGACACTGTTTGTGGGACCCCCTGTTTCTGTACGGGGGAACCTGCCCAGAGCACCATATCGCTTCAGAAACTCTCTGTACTGCAGCTTCTTCTGCTCATTCACAGGCATCTGACTCCACACACACTCAAACTGAGAAGCAAAAGGAAAACACACACATAATAATCACCCACACTGGTGGGACTGATACCCCAAAGAGAGTTACACTCAGTATGTAAATTGGATTTACAAATGACTAACTTTCTCATGCAGTCAATAATTATCAGCAAAGATAAATTCGATTTTGATTAGAATAATTAAAGAAAACAGCAGATTAAAGAAGAATGGAATTGGCAAATGTACTAAAATTCAGATTCATCTTCTCATTTGTAACCATGGACTGATGCCAGTATGTGTTGTTTCAGCTTGAAAGCACTGGGAGAATTGTTGGAAATGTGCTTGTTCTCTTGAACATTTCCTCTTTCAATTTTCTGAATTATAATTCACTGGAATATAAGCAGCAGTAAACACATTCTCTGGCTTTACCTGATCATTTGTGAGTCTCAGGCTGTGCCGATCACACAGCTGTCTGAACTGCTCTTTAGAGACTGTTGTGCTGTTGGATGGGTCCAAATCCATCAACTCTCTGCTGATTTCACACAAGTGACCTGAGACCACTTCCTGGATCTGCTGCAGGTGCTCTGTATTTTCAGAGGTCTTGGTCCGTCCTGATCTGGTTTTAGCCCCTTTCTCACAAGTTCTGCTCAGGCAACTGTCTGCTGACATCTGCAACATTATGTACACAAGCATACAACACACAGGCACACACACACACACACACAGTTGAAGAAAATGATTAGGAGTAAAACAATAACATTTTGTAGTAATGCTTGTTTTTTAAGAGTGAGATGAAACGATGGATATCAATCTATGTCTGTGTTGAGTATGATGTGATTAGCCTAGCTCAGCATATCACGACTACGAGTCTACAACCATGCTAGCAGCTTTATGAGACTGTAATAACTACTGTTACTAATTTTAAAGATTCATTTGCTAAATTGTTCACAATGACAATGCCAACATGAAGATGCTAAGCAGGTATCATGGTAACCACGTTAGCCATGTTAGCCTGCTAACATTTGGCAAATAGCACACAAACGATAGCTGAGGCTGATGGGAATGTCATTAGTTTTGCAGGTATTTGGTTATAAACCAAAGAATTAGACAAAGTTTGACCTGATGGTGGTGCTAGAAGAAAAGTTCCTACAATTCATCCTGGCAGACATTAATGTGTAAACCAAATTTCATGGGAATCCATCCAATAGTTGTCGAAACATTTGACTAAAAACACAAAATGTTCCTCTCAATAAAAAGTCAGTGAACCACCAAAGTCAGTAGGCTTCATGAGGCCATGAATGTTTGTACAACTCAGCATCCAGCAGTTGTTGAGATATTTCAGGCCATTTATGGATCAAAGGGGTGGACCGGACCTACAGACACCTCTAATGGTAAGTAACACGTTGTGTCTCATTTATATTACTACACAGAAAGAGACATGTAAAATACTGTTTTAGGGTGTTACATGCTGGAGCTACGGATCAACAGCTATGTCCTAGGGGTGTAAATATTTAACGATACAAGTTAGAAATCGGATTTGACGTTATAGATGCAACACGGTATTCTGTTGGTTGCAACCTGCAACTTTACCATTAGATGTCACGAAGTCCCACACACAATATGTTACATCACAGAGATTTATCCTGGTATAATACATTTCTGACAGACTAATTAATTATTAATTAATTACTAATTATTAACAGAGATTAATATCACTCTTCTCATCAGAAGGAAACAAAAAAGCCTTTTTCACAAAATGTTGAACTATTCCTTTAAACTTCTTTGGAAACAGCTTCTCTTACCAGTGGGCTCTGTGATTGAAACTTGTTAAGGAAGTCCTTCCAGTTAACAGTGCAGTTCTCATAGTCCAGCTCCAGTTTGGTCAGCATGTATCTGTACTGTTTGTCTGATAGGCGGCCACAAAAATTATCCAGCACCTGACGAAATTCCAGCGATTTAATCATCCCTGTCCCACTCCGGTCAAAGGCCAAGAATGCCTGGTGGACAGAAAGAGCCACAGAAAGGCCATCAGCTGAAAAAGAAACTCATGACAAGAAAAAAATGAAGCACATGGTTGTAAGCTGCACCTTGTACAGATTAGTTGCTGAGGCAGCAACTAGTTCTTGCATCCTAGCCAGAGCCACGCCTGGACTGAGGCTGTCCAAAGACTCCATCTGACGCACAGCATCAGGGGATGCAGGAGGAGGCTCATACTTCTCTGGTTGATGGTCAAATGCAGACAGGAAATCCATGTAAGCTAGCCTCTTACACTCATCATCCATGGAAACCTTAAGCCTGAAGAGGGTGGTTTGAAATGATGAATGATGTAAACTGAAAGTTCAGAGTTTTTAGCCGTGCTGTCAAACATTTGTACGGACAGTTACCCGGCAGTTACAGCAACTAGAGGTGGGGGTATGATGCCATTGACAGGTGACCAAATCAAACGCACTGTTACCTTGAATAAAATGATGTATTTCTCTGGGTTTGAACATTGTTGGAAATAGGTCTGTCACAATATCAGCTTTTCACTACACAATTATCGTGGCCAAAATGATTCATGACAATATTATCACTATATCTATAGAACATTAAAAAAAAAAATGAAATAAATAATAATGCTATCAGTCAAATTCATCTTTTATTGGATGTTGTTTTTTTTAAATCAACTGTTAATCCTTAAGGTGCATTACCGCCACCTAATATGTTGGAGTGTGAACTACAAAGCGAGAACAGAAAGAAACAGAAATGATTCCAGATGTGCATTATGTACACAGCATCATTATGTGTGTATTATTAACATGATATCAATATTTGACTTCAAATAGCACTGTTATTGTCAATATCAGTATCACAACATCATGACAACCCCAGTTACAATCATTTGGGTTATGTCCCGAAACTCAACAAAATGTGAGTAATACTTAATTATAAAAATATGATGCCTTTAAGCTCTCTAGGTGATGTCTGCAGCCAATATTACCGTAATCAAAGATCAATGTTTGTATGCTTTCCTAAAACAACTATCACACCTTTTTTGAGGGACAGCTCAAAAAAGAAAATAATACTCCTAAAACATGTAATGTGACAGAGTAGATTCTACATTACATTATAAGCTATACAGTACAGCTTTAAATGATGACTCTATGAAGAAATACACAGGCCCCAAATATGTTTTTTCACTGTGGTCTTTGGTAAAATGATCTTTAATATCCCTGCTGATATATGTCTCAGTAGAAGGAGTTGAGTCTACCTGTGCAGGTGATTTACAAGCTGCTCTCTCTGGACGGAGCAGCTGTAGGTGTGTAACAGGCTCAACAGCTGCTCCACTGTCACTGTGCCGTCGCCCCTCGTCTCCAGGTGAGTGAGTGAGTCGCTCAGCCCCTTGTAGTTGTCCTGCAGAGTCTGTCTGTGGAAGTAAGAGCTCATGATATCAACATAAAACTATCTCTGTTCAGACTGACAAATGTCTTTGGCTCAAACTTTTGTTCACATCATCAGAAAGCAAATATGAGAAAATCAACATTTGGAAACTTTAATGTAGATTCTGCAAAGGGCTCTCTTCAAGTCAAACAATTGTTAAACATCTGCACAACAATGATCTCACAAATCAAACCTTGTGTTGGAAAAGCTAATGACTTGCCATAACTATTGTTCAGCTGTACTTTAAAATTAGTAGAAATTAAGAAGCCCTGTTGCATAGCATTCACAGTACTTATCACCAAAAATGTTCAATAATGGCTCAATAATAGTCACAGCATGTGCAAATGTTTTTACACCAGACTTAATGTTTGTTTATCCAAGCCCCCTGAGGTAAGAAGATCAATTAGAGTAAAATAACAATATGATAACATATGTTCATATTGAAATGTACTGACGCTCCAGGGTCCAGATTAAAACAAAAATCTGTACATGTCATCTATACATTTTTCTATGTTCAATCTTTCGGGTATATATTCTGCCCGGGTCATTAAGGAAACTGTATTAACTGTGTGCATTATGTTTTATGTGTGTGTTATGCCGGTTAAAATGACTGAAATCTATGGTTGCATGTATTTTATAATTATATTTAAATTATAAAATTATATTTATGTGTGTTTTAGCTTTATTAAGTATGAATCACAACTTTTTTCCACCAGGCTGACTCAAGATTCTCATTTATATTGTTTAGTTTGACATAAAATTCTTTTTATCTATTTAATTTCTTCTTGTTGTAGGCTGTTTAGGAAAATAAGTAAAAATGACATTATGAGATAAATCAGGGACCACAAGGGAAATAAGTCCAGGACTTCGTCGTGTTATGCCTGACTTTTTGTCAAATAAACTAAACTAACCTAAAAATAAGAAAAATATGAATACATTCTGTAAAATATATATAAATTAACCAACAATTTGAGAAATAATTGCAGAAATGATCAATACTCAACTCATTATTGCGAAATGTTATTACATAATTCATTTCAGTTTTTATGTCAAAATGATCTTTTTAAAAAGTCAGTTTTGGTCAAAAGGAGTCAGACACTTCCATGTGGAGGAATTCCAGGCTTACACAACTATGGGGACAGACCCTGGGACTCAGGATTACCCAGGAAGGGCTGGAGGACGTGGCTAAGGAATAGGACACCTGGGCTACTGACCTGGACCCGGAAGAGTGGATCGGTAGATAAACACCATTTCAGGCAGTACCCTTCTTCACTTACTCTATACACTCCAGTGAGGCAGCATCAGAGGAAACTGATCCGTCAGCATCCTGTTGTGCAACAGTTTGGTTCAGTTTCTGCCTCCGAGGCCCAAGTTCACCTTCATGATGAAAGCCCAGCTTTTCTAGAAAGTCACCAACCGCTACACAGCCCTGCCCCTCTGGGGTATACCTGTCAAGAAGAAATTAAAAACTGTCTTGCACAAACAAGAGCACATCACCGTACAATGCAGTGATTGTGATGCCTCATACCTCGACCAAAGCTGGTCAAACTCATCAGATCTCAGGGGGAGTGCATAGGTGAAGAGCAGTCCCCTCAGGCTCTTTTTATGGATCCAACCCTGGCCGTCTGTGTCAAACTGGCACAGCACCTGATGGGAAAGAGAGGAACAGGTACAGATCTTGCAAACATCATGCAAAGACTCATTCTATGTGCGCTTTCTGGAAGTTCTCCTGACCTTAGACATGTCTGCCCACTTGTAGCGAGCTTCACTGGCCAGAAGTTCATGGAGCTGCTCTTGTCTGTCAGGAGAGACAGAGATAACCAAATAGAAGCACACTAAAGAGCAACTTTCCCCAAATGGCCAAACATCAGCAATAACAACCGTATCAGACTCACACACTAGTTGTTTGTGTCCCTTGTTTGTTGCGCTTGCCATTATTTTCAATAACGTCGACAAATTCTGTGTAGTTGAGGTTGCTTCCGGGATGCAGGCCGATCAGATCCAGGAGCCGCTGGTACTCTTCCTCCCTGTAGAAAAATCCCACGCTGTTGTACAACACCTTGAAATCATGGCAGTCAACCACGCCTTTACGTTTCCTGTCCATCAGGCGGAACGCTGTCAGGTTGTCCTGATGGGAAGAGATGGAGTTATCAGAACAGAGACATTCATTGAACAGTGTGTACTGTGAAGACGTTAGTAAACCCTAAACATTCACAACCTGCCACAACCTGTCATCATCCTTAAAGGTACCCTGTGGATCTTTCTTGTGAATAAATAAATAGTTGTTTGAGTGTTACTCACCAAAACTCATTGCATGTATCCTGGTACTTTAACAAATGTGTTGAATGTATTTCCTTCCTCATAAAACAGTTACAAAGCCGACTTTTATAGGTCTATTAAACTCAGCATTGTTTATATCCATTTTACTTTCTAGCTCTTCTTCTCTGTCTTTGCTGACGCATTGCTGCATATCTCGATGTGTTACTGCTACCTGTAGATCAGTGGAAGAGTGTGAAACCATTGGCAAGACTGTATATTGCATCACCCACAGGTACATATGCATGCTTGAGCGTCCTACTGTGGGTGCACAGGATAAACACAATTTTAAGGATAACCACAGTTTTTACACAATTTTAGTCCTAGTTGATCTGGTGACACCTGTTGTTACTGATGATAACAGCAAATAACAATGTGGTCTGAATATAACAATTCAAATATTTTTTGAGAATCCTGCTTTGTGGTTTATTAAGAAATGACTAACGACTATATTCAGAATTTTAAGGAAAAGCCTCAGAATCTTTTCTGTCAAACTGTTAAACATGTAGCACATATTTATCATGTCTCCAGTGGTAGACAAATTCAGATTTCTTTTAAAAACACAAAAAAAATCCAATTGACATGTCAAAGCACATATTATTGAAAGTAAAGTTTTTCTAAATCCAATGGTACCAGGCATTAGATATAATTCTTTATAGTTCTTGTGGTACAGTAATTTCTGTATCATACTATATAGTCATTAGTCAAGGATTCAAGGTCAATTCATTGTTGCTTAAATGTCCTAAAAAAAGAATGTTAAGAAAAACTTGCGCCTCTTGCTTGACCAATTTAAAACTTTTCAATGGATTTGTGCTTAGCTCAGCTAGAACCTAAAGTGCTGAAAAGCAAATGATAAAATTCTACTGTGGCATTAATGGGGTATGGACTGTATGTGAATTCCCCGGTACTTAAAGGGGCACAAAAAGGGTAACTATTTAGTAAATAGAAATTGATGAGACATTTCTGGTTCATGAACGATTCATGAAGAAAGTGGTCAGTATGTCAAGTATTTGGATTCAATTCAATTCAAATTTATTTGTATAGCACCAATTCATAACAGAAGTTATCTCAGGACACGTTTCAAACAGAGCAGGTGTAGACCGAACTCCTTATAAAAGGAGAGTAATAGACTGCTCTCTAGTAACTCATCATTATCTACTATACAGTACTCAGTTTAGAGTTATTTAGGAACTTAACGACTCATCAGTTAATGAACTCATAATTGACAAATGCTACAGCTTTTGTCTTTGCCATCATATCCAGTATTTGTATGCATCCTTTCCTGTAAATCCATTTGAATCCCACAGAGGTAAGGTGCACTCCACCAGTAACAGTAAAAAACAGAGAGGTAAATACAGAATACAGGTACATTAAAAGGGCCCCAGACCATGAACCACAACATCCAGCCCAGGACCTTTGCAGGAGGTCCCTCCGCATCTCTCCCTCCCTCCCTCCCTCCTCCCTCCCTCCCTCCCTCTCCCTCCCTCACTCCATTTCCTTTTTTTTTTTTTTTTTATAAAAGCCTACAATTCTGGGAAAAATGCCAGGCACAAATAGTGCCAAAGTGAGGTATGATGTAATGAAAATCACAGATTATCCTTGTGCTTTTTTATTTAAATAGCAGCTGAATGCATTGCTGATGAGCAGCTCATCTGAAAGAAGAAAGATTAATTACTGGCTCACCCCATGGATGGTCTTGATCCGGGTCTTCATGACAGCCAGGCACTGCTCAGCAGAAGTAAGCTGGGAGTCGACCTCATCCTTGTCACCATGACCCTCAGAGTCCTGCTGCCCGGCCCTGGCCACGGCCTCTACAGGAACCACAGAGGGAAAACAGATGTTAAACCACACGTTGTGATATTTGTTTTTGAGATTTAGCAAGTATATACATATAGATATATACATAAACATACACAATCATACACATGCATATACACATTTATAAATACTAACATATAGAAGACTAAACAAGAGGAAAAGAATAAGTTAATAAAGAGACAACAAAAATAAGTAAATCTATAAAAAGGCTTGCCTAGAGAGGTGGGTTTTAAGGAGCTGCTTAAAACAGTCCAAAGATTCAGAAAATCTGAGTGATTGAGAAACATGATTCCAGACGGTTGGGGCGAAAACGGTCCCCTTTAGCTTTGCAGTTGGAGCAGGGAATGGATGAAAGGCCAAGATTTGAGGAGTCGAGGGGTCGAGGTGTGGAATGAGAAACAAGGAGATCTGAAACATAACTGGGGGCGAGGTCATGAAGTGCCTTATATGTAATCAGCACACAAACTGGTTCTCCTGCATTCCCGGTATTTGTGAGGGAATTATACCCAACAAATTGGAATTTTTGTTCCATTTTGTGAATTATTTGTGCTTTTCCACACTCGCAGAATGCCCTTCATGTCTGGCAAGCACACTGGGCATTTAACAGCCTGACCTAATTTACATTTAATTAGAAGCACACTTGAATTCTGAATCTAGGAAGTCGATTTGTATGCCTTGCAAACATGACTAACTTTACGTCCCGGCTTTGTTTAATGATTCTTCTATTTTTTTTTGTTATTCTTTCTACTGTGTTTCTTTTTATTATTATTTTTGAGGATACAAATTAGAGCGATGCCCTGCTGCTCTGTTTTCTGCTTCCAAAGCACATAATTAGCCCAAACAAGCAGAAATGAGTGTGATTCTGAATCTGCGCGCCTCTCCGCTCTGCTAATGAGAGACGAAGAGGCTCACTCTTACTCTATTTATAATCCAGGATGATTTCTCCAATGGCTCATGTGCTAAGAAAGACATCATTTTACAGGAAGCAGGGGGCTTATGTTTGATCACCGTGGGTGGGGTAGGAGTTTGGATGCAAGGCGAGAAGGAGTGGAGGGGGACGGGAGCCTGGTGGGGAGTAGGAAGGGATTTTTAAAATCTCTATTTAAGCATTGAAAACCCTGCCATGCAGAACTGATGGGATTGCTGACGCCGCTGGTCAAGATGTTCTGGCTGCCGTTCTTGTCTCACCCTCATACATCGCCAGGAACACCGAGCACTCCATCCGTCCGTCCCTGAAGCCCAGCAGTTCAGTGAACTTGTTGAAATTCTCATTGTCCAAGATGACCCAGCTGTCCTCTAGTATCTGGGGAAAAAGAAGAGAAAGCAGGACAGCTTTGGCAGTCAGTTACACTGCACTGGCCAGGTTGCATTGACTTTTCAGAGTCAGAACCACATGTACAACAGGTACACAAGGAAATCTGACCTGTATCCTTTACTGACCGACTGCAGCAGATTTAAAATGCTATTTGTGTTTGATTTCTATGTATGCATTTCCTGTGTCATAATTAATAATTATTACTCTTTAATAACTGAATGAATAATTAAATAATTAAAATCAAATCACAACTAGGGGTGTGACGATGTTGATGATAACTGCGGTATTTAAAAATGAAATATGCATTATTTGTGACATCACAAGGACTTAATAATATTGAAGTCAGTCCTGGTCCCGTATGCAACTTGTACAGAGTGATGTAGAAACTACCAGTGCACATCCACTGTGACTGTACAGTGAAGTAGGAGACATCTTGTTATAAAGAGTTCGGTCTAGACCTGCTCTATTTGAAAAGTGTCCTGAGATAACTTCTGTTATGAATTGGCGCTATACAAATAAAACTGAATTGAATCTTGTGTCCAGCAGGAAATATTAAAAAAATTAACAACATTGCATATTCAGAGATTCTGGAATTGATAATGAGGTAGAAAAAAAGCACACATTATTGCTCCAAGCAGACAACTGTATATGTGTCCTCATACATATTGTGATGTGTACTAGTTAAAGTTCAGATAATGCTGCTGACTGAAGAACATGTGTCTCTCCAAACAGACATATTGGCCTGACTACTATAAACACAGACAGGATTGGCAGACCATCCTTATGAACCTACTTCATCATCTTTTTTACAATACATCTTGCAAGGGAAGGATAAACTGTAACTATAACTATATATAAATCTGGAGTGAGAAAACAAAATAAAAGATGCTCCTGTATTTCTACCCTTTTCCCCTTTAATCACCTCTCCCCCCTATAGTCCCTGATCTGTGTTGCTTGCCTTGTCTGACCTTTTTGTTGAATATAGCTTTTCTTTAGAACTGTACTTATTTATCTATTTGTCAATATTTCTGTATTCTTTGCCTGATTGGATTTTCTATTATCAAAACTTAATAAATAATCACCTGACTTTTTTTCTGAATTATCACCATGTTCTCAGATCTTTTATGAGTACACTGTTATCATAACCAATAGGACTGATACCAAATAAAAATAAGAATTAAGTTGAAATAAATGGGAACTATCCTCTCACTAAAGCTGAAAAAATGATCTGGGGTAGCAGCTCAGTAACCATTAGTCAGAATCCAGTCAGAATTAGTGGGTGAAACATAACAGGACCAAAGTGAATGTTGTGAGGCTCAGGAAAGAAAGTGTGATGATTCACAGATCCGACCCATGTCCTTTGCTTCACATTTAACAAACAGGAGCATCGATTCAGACAGCTTGTATTGAGCAATGTGTATAATTTATTTTTAGCATCTAAGTCATCGAAGCCTCTTTTACATTGGCTATTTATATAAGAGCTCTTACGCTCAGTGCGCTCTACTTCTCACTCTGCTTGTGCACAGGTTCACACACATCACAGGTCCCCCGCCCCTCACTCAAACTATACTCAGACTCTCTACACACGTGCTACTGCGTCTGCTGAAATCATTGGTCGAGATATTGCAGGATATTCCAACCTAGACATGAAAAGAGCAACAATATACGTAGCCACATGTAGTTTAATTGTACATGATGTAACTAATGAAAACTGCTATTGTGTTTGTGATGTTTCGTGAAAATATTATACTGATGTTCAGTTCCAAAATGAAAAATACAAGGTTTTCTGCATTTGTAGATCCAGATTGATCTGTATATTGTCATGCAGACTGAATGAAAGAAATATATATTTAGGCCTATTTATTTTTCTAAAGTCATCTCAGGCTGTTCATCATCTGTCTTGGAAATGGATGGTTCATTAATTAACAATTTGGACGAGTTGTTATTATGAACTGGTTTGACTGGTCCGGCCCACTTTAGATCAAATTGGGCTGTATGTGGCCCATTAACTTAAATGAGTTTGACACCCCTGCCTTAAAAGGTAAGGCTGTTGGTATGAGTGTTTCCTATTAATTAACTAGACTTTGGCCGCCCGCCATGGTCTATTTTTCCCCCACCATATTTTCATAATGAACCGACAATATTTTTACACTTCTCTCTAACATTGTGTTTTACACTGTTGCTTCAGCAAAGCGTCTCCCACTAACAGTACGAGTATCTGCAATCGACTAACTAGTGAACAATTTCCCCTCACTCTATCCCTCCTGTACAGTCTACTGACAGTCACACTGCAGAGACACACACACAGAGACAGACGCTCTCTGGTGCAGATACAGTGTTTATTTTATCAGTGTGGACCAGGTAAAGCAAGAGTAAACAGCAGTGAACACATCAGCTGTTGCCAATGTCATTCGGTACCACATTGTTTTCGATCATTTTGATAGGCTCCTCATTAATAACGAGCCTCCACACGCAGCTCACCTGCTGTTATTACAATGGAATTGTTGGGGGGGAATCCTAAATAAAACTTACTGATGAAGAAAGTCAAGAGACACAAACAGAGAGAGAGAGAAACAGAGAGAGGCAGGGCGGGGCAAGCCGGTGTGAGAGACCAGAGTAGGTATGTGTGTGGCTTGTGTGGAAAACAGTAATGTTACTGAAGAGAAAAGCAAGGTGATTAAAGTAGTTAGAGAGTTAGTAGTGAAATAAGTCATAGATTTCAATAGATAAATCTTCTTCCTGAGCCATACTGCTCCTTTGTTGTTCAAAAGCTATTAAAAACACAGTGATTAAAATCAGTGAGTCACACTGTTGTACTGAGTGACATGTTCCTTCATTACCATGAACATTCAATCCCACATACACACTGTTGGTTTTGGTCTTTTTATAGGATTTGTTGACAATGAGACAAATATAACACCAGACGACTCCTTTAAAATTATTCTCCACCCTTTACCTTTCTATGTATGAAATATACTCCAAGCCCTTGGGGTCACTGTCAACAACCCACTACCATTTGGAGATGGGTGATTTGTTGTAGGGCTAACTAACTGCCCTGTGCACAAATTATATTTTTATACTCATTAGCATGTACCTTATTTGTTCCCTACTCACCTTTCGTACATCTGTCTCTGACAGCGTCCCATCAGAGCTGTGGGTGATGACTTGGATGCGGTCAGTCAGGCTGGTGTGGCGTTGCTCTAACCTCAGTCTCATCCTCTGGAAAACAATGTCCAAGATGTTGCAGGTGTCTGGACCGACCTGCAGGCTGGAGGGAGTCATCTGTCCCCTGACTGACTGTGGGGTTGACGAAGGTGATGTGCATGGCCTGTAGGGCAGACTTGTTCAGAGCTCGGTACAGAAGGGAGTTATAATAAAAAGACGATGTAGCCACAGCCACAATCAAGAGTCTGCTTGCCTGAGTGACCAATAAAGTTAAAAACAGTTCCAAGTAAAAAGTGAGACCAGAGAAAAAATCATGCCAACATATGCAAAAATGCCTCTTCAATTATGAAAGTAATGCTTAAAGGTTAAATACACCTTATTTAGAATGTTAATATAGCAGCAAACAACATCAGACAGACGTCTGTACTTCTATCCTTCAAGAAGCAAAACTTAATTCATAGGTAGTGACCAATCAATTCCTAGACGTCTGATGGAATAAGGCAGTGGTCCCCACCTTTTTCCTAAAGGGACCCCTTTTCTATCATTGAGTAAACTGATGACTCCTAACTAAGGGACATATTTGATGGATATTCATTTTTAATTAATTAATGAAATTAGCAATTTGGATGAATTTTGAGTATTTTGTTTTTGATTATTTCCTGTGAATGTTGCATTAGAGATGAGTTTTTCCAATACTTTTAGGACTTATTTATACAATTCTTTGCCTGTATTTTTTGTTTTATTTTTAACAATCACACATCTTCTCCCTCATACTTGGCCATTGTTTTAATGCAGGATGAGGCTGTTTAGCAGTGAGTGAAGGCTGTATGAATACAGCTTGTGTTCAGTTTCTATCTTAAATAATATTTGAAACTTTAAAAATAACAGTTTCATTTGTTTTTCTTCACACTAATGAATGAAATACTGATATGGAGGCCTACTGTGTATATCTTCAAAGTTGTCTTATACCCCTTAAAATCAAGAAGGCCTTGTGACCCTGGATTAGGGGGTTAGGGCAAAGTGGTTAGGGTACAATTTTTCTGCTGGAAAGTCTGTGTCAGAGTGTAAGAAGAAGTCTTAAAATCCTTGAAATATGGCACTAACATGTCAGATGATTTGGTGCCAAACTAATCAGGCCTTTTTTCAGGAGGAAACACACCCAATATCTATTGACATATCATCCTAATCACTTCTGGAGGTGGATTAACAGGATTAATCAAACATGATCCACAATGCTAGAACCAGTAACTCCAGAAAGACTCACCTCTCAGTATGGCAACTCTCCTCGTGGCATGATGATGCGTGTATTTCATCTGTTAGTGGTACACCCAGGTTTTTGAGAAAGCCAGTGTAATAAACAAGCTTAGAAGAACTGCCAGGTCTACAGCTGGATGTCTCACAGAGCCTAGAGACACAATGAGAATGAGAATGGGGGGATTGAAACTAACTGGAGCAGTATTTACACGCAGCTCTCCTTATTATTTCCTCAGACCTTCTTCATGTGCAACATCCAGTTGAACAGGCAGTTTAAAGTCGAAGTGCAGAAACAGAGAGTTCAAAGTCCTGTTCATCTTCCAGTCAATCAGGCTACTTAATAAAACCACTAACAGGCCAGTAGGGCCAGTGCAAGCAGGGATTCAATAATCAATTCAACATGGCAGCAGATGCATCTCATTAATGCTCTAGCCTTAGAGGACACTGATTGCCATCAGTTTTCGTCTGACCATACATGCAGCCAAAGCACCCTGAAAATTGCAAGTGAAAGCATTCTTCAACATCAAAGTTCAAAGCAAATTTCAAATTTACGTCAGTGCTTTCACTTGTGGTATTCCTTGGAGTTACATGCTGTAACAACTTTTTGTTTCACTGTCTGTTGCTTAATTAGGTAACAGAATGGTGATTGTGCCTATGGCCCAGTGATGAGTGTGAGTATTGCAATAATTATATATTTGCAGTATTAAGAACTGGGTGTCTGTAGCAACATTCCTGGAAAAAATGTTTAAAGTCTTTATATAATGTGATTTACAATTTCTATTTGAGTGAAAACAATGGAATTGTGCTCAGAGTTTAGCAGTCTGGAGTCTTGTTGATACATGAGCTTCAAGTTTTCAGAATTGCTTGCATAGTTCCACTGCAGCATTTTTTCTGGGAATGTCATCAGATGTAGCTCCCAGCAAAAATGCATATTTCCCAAAATGTCAAATTATTCCCTTGATAAAGATATCATAAAAGGAGCGCCAGTGGAACCTCAAACAGTGAAAAACAATGCAGTAAACAGGATGGAAATATGACTTTTTCCTTTTCTTTCATGTATTCATGTGAGGAAGGTTCCATCAGATCTGGGTGGAGCAATCACGGATGTATTATAGAGCCATGGGAGATGAGGAAACTGTCAGAGCGGGAACAACCTCAGTCATGTGTGTTAAATGTTTGTTACGTCAGAACTTATAGTGTTTCCATCCCCCATTAAGCGCATTAACTCTTTATTAGAAAAAGAGTATATTAAAAAAAAGGTATAAAACCATGAAATCGAGTTTTTTAAATTTTGCCGTTCCTATGAAACTTTTCTAATATAATATATAAAAATACATTGATGGAAACATGGCTCATGTGAGATTCCTTTGGCTGGGAAATTGCTCATAGGTATGAATGTGTTAAACTGTCCAGGGTGTTATTATTATTTCCTAATTCTTGAGTTCTTTCATTTTGATGTAGGACTGTTCTGAACATTACAGCTGCCATCTTTTGTATTGCCTTTGTGAGCTTTTGATTACTACACTGTCTCTGGGTGTGTTTCTTACTTGTTGAAGTGTGTGTCTGAGATGGGCACGCCATAGCAGCTTAAGACCTCCTTCAGATCTTCCTGTGCAACATATCCAGTGTGCCGAGGGTCACACAGCTTCAGAGCTGCCACTACTGAACTGAGTTGCTCACACAGTTTGTCCAGCAGTACATTCTCCACCTTAAGATACAAGTACACACACAGTTCACACACAGAAAACACACACAAATCAAAGTGTGCATTAATAATTAACCCATCTTTCTTCTTTTGATCTTATCTTCTGTTTTCTTTCTCTGTTTGATCTTGTGGTGCATGCTATGTGTGATATGGGTGATATTTGATCACAGTATGTTGTGTTAACACACTCACTGTTCTCCATGAAGCAGATGCCACAGACACTTTTTCAAAAAAAAATAAGGGCCCCCCCTCTCTTTTTTTTTTTTTTTCTTTAAAAAAAAAAAAAAAAAAAAAAAAAAAAAAAAAAAAAACACAAAAAAAAAGGTGCAACTACTGTGGCACACAAAAACACACACACACACACACACACACACACACACACACACACACACACACACACACACACACACACACACACTTGTGTTACTATATATGTAGGGAGCCTTCACTGACATAATGCAACAACAACCCTTTAAACTTTTGGGGTCCAGGATCCCCACAAAGCTGTCAAACCCCACAAGTATGCTGAGTTTCTAGTTTTTGGACCCTTCGAGTACAGTAAACAAGCCTACACACACATCCTAGCAAATGTTTATACAAGCGTACAGCAGTGACTTCAGTTTCCTCGGAGTCATCCAGGGGCTCTGCAGCATTAGCAGGGGAGGGTAATGGGGACGGGTTGGGGGCTGTGGGAGCAGAGATGATGCTGGGGTTGAGTCTCTCCAGGCTGGCCAGCTGTATGACCCCAGTGTGTTCTGGGTCCAGTGCATTGACCAGCTCTGTGATCTGTGAGTGTTGAAGGCGGGGCAGGGAGGTTCGGGGTTGGGTCCCACCCGGTCTCTCCAGCAAATGTCGCAGGTCTGCTCGAGTGATCCAACCTGCCTCCTTCTGGAAAGAAAAGCAATCTGAGCATTCTTCTTCAAATAGTGTCATTATATTTATTATTATAGGTTGAATCGTTTCACAAGGTCATGATGTTAGACATCATAGATATGTATTAATAGGTATCATCACAGGCAGTGTAGTCAGGGTAAATGTGGGGCTGAAGTTAGAACTGACCACCATGTCAGGAGTAGAGAAGTAGGCAGTAGAAGTTAATTCGGGCAGAGTCAGGGCTCCAGGAGAAAAAAATGTGCCTGACTGTTCGAATATTTCCAACACTTGATAGGGTATTGAAGTCATCATTAGTGCAAAAAAATAGTAACAGAAAAAAATCCAACTCATATTTAGGAGAGAAGTCAAGTAAAGGTCTCAGTATGCATCAAATGAACTTGGTCTTTTAGGGCATGTCATTGGACCACATCTCAAGGCAAAAGGGAGTTTACCCAAGCTCAAAGCTGGAGTGAAAAGCCTGCATATATAATAATACCATAATACAAAATCAAAGTGACAAAGTGCTTTACAATAATGTCTTAGAATACTCGCAGAGTTCCACAGCTCAGGGGCCAGCAGCAAATGCCCGGTCACCTTTAGAGACAAGTCAAGATTTTGGAACCAAGCCAAACCTCCACCTGACTGCATCCTCCAGCATCCCCAATCTCTCTCCTCAAATTCAGTGTTTTCTTTGTATTAACATTAATGGTGTCACTAGGATGTGCAAATGACAGAAGTAGTTGTATGAAAACTGAAAAAAGAAGATCAAACCCTGCCTACTTCCCCACACCCTACCAATCACTGTGTAAAGAGGGCATGATTGTTCAAAGAAAGTTACACGAGCAAGAACGCGCAAGAGGTCTACGGTAATCACGGCAGAAAGTCTTTTTTGTCTGTGTCTGTTGGAAAAGCAATAAACACAATGATTGTTTATCCATGCCAGAAAAAAATACTTAGGATTCCCTTGTATTTTATAAAAATATATGTATTTGAAGGTAAGCAACGTCACTTTTATAGAATTGGCTTATCTTAATTTAGAATGGAAAATAAATGTCTACATTAAACAAATGTTAAGAACTGTAAATAACATTACAAAACATCTTTGAATTGTATTGCACAATTAAAAGAATTTATCTAAATACGTACAATTTGTATATGTATAAAGCAAACACTTTAGAATTGTTTCAAGTATTTACAGTCGTAAAACGAGAGCTAGAGTTTGTGGTGTTGTATTGGATTTTATCAAAGAGATACACACACAAACTACATAGTCCCCATATTGAACATACTGAATAACATTACCAGTACATCTGTTAATGATGCTGTGTTCACTCATTGTTGAGGTTATGATACAAACTATTTAAGTGCCATAATGCACTGTGATATTATGATAGTGTTAATTATGGCCAATGGCGCTTCCATCGGATGTGTATGTTATCATACACAAACAACGTGAATCACACCAAGTCTTCTGAGCTCTAGAATGCTTCCCCAGAGACAGTCTAAAAACCATAGTTGGCTTAAAACCTGCCTGAGTGAAAAACCTCATTACTGGCTGGCGGTGTGAGGACACTCTTGTTTGATCTCCCACCGCTGAATAGATTATTAAAACAGTTGATGGAGGGATTTTTTTCCCTCCCATGCCATTAAAGGGAGGAGATTCTGGCAGATAGATATGTGTGATTCATATCTGGGAGAGGCTTCACACACATATACAAACACACACACATATACACACTTCCTCAAACTTGGAAGCTGACTGTTGTTTTGTGAGTGGCGTAAGGAACATCAAACATAACTGTGAATTAATGGAATATTCAACCCCCCCTTCCCCCAAAGTTTAGTCAAACTCCAAAGTTTCATCCAGCTGAAGTAGACTGATTTGAAATTAAAGAGGCAGAACTGGATGCGGAGGCGTGTTGAAGGGGATGGCTGTCAGACGAACATATGGCTAGTGACTGAGTGGCTAACCAGTGGCCATATGCAATCATCTAATCATGTTTATGGCCATCAAAAAGCTGCAGATGATGATTGGCTCATCTGTAAAGCTGTCTGGCATTTATATTTAAAGAATACACCTGAGCATGTGCCTTTGTCTCTTAGCAATCTGCTGAGATTACTCCCATGTGTCCTGTCTGATAACATTCAAAATCACTTCTGTCTTGTCTTTTACTACACTTCTTGCAAGGCTGCGCAAATAAGGGAGAGGTTTGAAAGCATTTCAGTGTGTCGTTTTTAAAAGGAGCAGATTCATCGCTTCAATTTAGTCTATTATCTACTTCCCTAGTCCTCACTCCTACCGTGTCCAACAGATGGAAGATCTCTTTCAGTCGAGTGTAAGTGTCCTGGAGATGCAAGTTGTCTTCATCTGGGACAGGCTGCTCAAAGGCCCTGAGAGAAGAGACAGGTGGAAAGGAAAGCAAAGGAAAAGAAAGATGACATATCAGAATACACAAATATAGCCGGTAATTCCTTACCTTATCAAACACCTCTTTCTTCACGTTGCCAGTATTGAAGTTTTAGAGAATTTTATCTTCTAAAATACCTTCACCCATAAATGTTCTGGCAATTTTTGTGTGGGACCAACAGCTATGTAAGATGATCTGAAAATCTGGCAGCTCAAGAGCTAGAAAGGTCTCTCACCGACTTTAATGCAGAAGACTAGAGCATTGTGTATTTTTAATAATCTAGTAAATTTTTTTAATCTGCCTTACTGCACGGCTAGAATCTGCAATCTTTACACTCACACTGTACAAATCCATCAACTGGCCAAGAACACACAGAAACTCTCGATCGATTTTGTCCATACCAATAAAGTTTATTCAAATAAGATGAATGTATGTTGTCAACAATATTGACTAAAAGAAAGTATGGCCGTTGCTTTTTTTTAATTCTACAATGAACGCAAGTGAGAAAAAATATGGAGTCACAGATGCAGACACTATGGTGGGTTCAGTTTTACATCACAGCTCAGTGTCAGTAAAGACTTTTAGCCACAACATGTAAACTCTAGTATTATAACAACAAGCTCACTAGAGTTTTTACTGATCTTTTGATAGCAGCAATGAGGGAAATTGGACTGTGGAACTACACGCCCAACTAAAATTTCTGATCTGCCAGAAATTCAACCAGTCCCCTGTGACCCAGAATGTTGGTCCCTCAGGCACAGCGACCCTGCTCAAACTGCATGTGGATTCTAAAATGAATCAGGGATGACTAATTCAGAGGTGTGGCAGCTTTTTGGCTTCACTAGGGGCAGAGATATACTTTCTTTTAACTATGCGTTTGTGTGTGCATGATGACACGCCTATCCTGCATCCATTTTTTGCACATCAAATTTAAACAACTCATTTGCAACACAAATGCATGGTTAAACAGCACATATATCTCCAGCAAGTCAGAAAATGAAAAAGGTAAAAAGATAACAGTCAAAACATGGAAAGAGATATGACACTGTTTCATGTCCATTTTTTAAAGGAAAAGGAAAAAGAAAAGGAAATATGCATTGTTTTGCATAGTTTATACCTAGAAAGGATTCTTTAATTTAATAATGACAATGTATCATTACATCCCAAGCGGCCACTGAAATAAATCATTTAAAAATGTTGTCACTGAACATTACAAAGGAATTATACACTCTCTGTGTTCTGTGTAGCAATAGGGTTGTAATGTAAGTCAAGATAACCAGTCGGCGCTTAATTTAAGTAGTATTTGCAGATGAAGAGTCATGCACACTGCCCTATCTTTTCAGAAACCTTCATGTCATGTGTGAACAGACGTAACACAGAAGACTGGAGACCTGTGAACATCATGATGACTAAAACACTAATTTCACATGTGTAGGTTCCACATGTGAAATGAGCTAAAGTTATCGTTTCAAACTAACCCGTCGGGGTGAAGATTTGTGTCGCAGTCTTCTTTGAGCGGGCTCATGAAGTGGCCCAAGAAGTTTTTCCACCTCACTGGCCCTGTTGCTCTCACACCATAGCTGCATACACACACAGAATCCATACACACTCATGAAAAATACATTACACAGAATACATGATGGCTAGATTTTAAGATTTAAAGAGTAAAGGGCAGGGAGGTTGAGGTTGGTAGAAAGACAGAAGAGAAGAGAAAGATGAAGTAAATAAATAAAATATTTTTCTCCCTACCGACTGGTCAGCTTCTGGAAGGAGTGAGGGTTCATGGGAAATATAAAGCTGCTGAGAACGGCCCTGAGGACATCCTGTTTTACCAGGCCAGAGTGGGTGGTGTCAAAGGCCTGCAGTGCTTGCCACACCGGGGTAGAGTTCATACACATCTGACACACAGAAGAACACACTGATGTACATTTATATTTTAGAGACAGACCTCTCGCTTTGCTTTGTCTGTTGATCCTCAATAATGACAGGAAGTGAGTCATGTCTGGTTCTGGTTACCATGGAGAACATCCCAGTGCAGCTCTCGGATGCAAGAGAAGAGCCAGCCCCGACTCTGCCGCCTCTCCCGCAAATTAGCCATGATTAACACACTAACTCAGGAGCTGATTTTTCTGGGCAAACATTTTAATTAGAAGTGTTCCCTCTGCCGTTTGCATTCTGACGCGCCACTTAGAGCCAATTTACCCCTCCGTCTTTAAAGAGGATAATGCAGGGGAGAGGGCCAGATGGTGACATGCAAACATGATGAAATAAAACACACAAAGTAATTCTCAGACAAGTGTGTACCTTGTAATAGAAGAGAGTCTGCAGCTTCCTGTGTGGCAGGACTGATGGAGCATCGCATGAGCGGGAAAGTGATTCTGGTGTCTGCTTCCTCTGTTTGACTTTCTCAGGTGGAGTTGTCCCTCGGCTGGACACCTCTACAAAATACAATCTTTAGAATAACTCCCGATTCTAGTATTTACTTTACAAATATGGCCAAGAGAGTTGAGATTACATTCCATGAAACAATTTAATGCAGTTGGCATCTGACTTTGCAGTTTAATTGTGTATAGGTCTTTCATAGGTTCTAGCCGCTTGGGGTAGCTTGTGGAGAGAGTAAGTTAAGACACCACTTACGCAACTTTTGGGTGTATAAATGGTAAATTGATTGCAGTTACTAGTTGCCTAATTGACTCATTATTGCCTCTCTAGTCTCAAAGCACATTACGCTAAATGTCACATTGACCCTATCACACACAATTAGGCCTATACACTGATAGCAGAGGCTGCCATGCAAGGTGCCAACTGTTCATCAGAGACAGAAACTAAGCACATTCACACACCAATGGCACAACATCATCACCAATCACAGCAATGGGGTTCAGTATCTAGGACACTCTGACATGCAACGGGAGGAGCCAGGGATCCAACCGCCAACTTTCTGATTAATGGACAATCGCTCTACCTCCTGAGTCACAACCGCCCAGCCACACATTGACATTCTCTGAGCATGTTAGTTAGTAGTTAATTTACCAATATATATATATATATTGGATGACCAGTAATTTACATACTTTCATTACCGGTAAACATAGCCTATATATATTTTTTTTTTTTTTTGTAGATGGAGAGCTACATACTCTCAGTTGGCCCAAAAGTAGTAACTGCTGTGCTGTACTCCAGCCTAAAAGAGTAGCTAGCATGTCTGTAGACTCATAAAAGTCTTGTTTGCGTATTTGTTTGTGTTCCCTGCTGGTCCCTCTCAATCATATTCTCTAAGTCCACATTTTAATCCACTGTATCCATACCTAGCTTAGTGCACACTGGAGCAATCCTGAAGTTATGGCTGTCGCCAAAGCCTAGCTTCTCCAGGAATAGTTCATAGGAAATGGTGGACGTGTTATTGGGACTGTAGTGCTTCCACAACCTAGAAAAAAAGCAAACGGATGCAGGATGTTCAATGTTTAAATAAATGATACAGGTGACCTATAATGTCAAGAATATCCATGTCAATGACGAGATGAAAAAAGAGGTCATGCTTTATACTTGGCTTTATCATTTCTAACACAGAGACAGAGAAAGTGTGTGTGTGTGTGTGTGTGTGTGTGTGTGTGTGTGTGTGTGTGTGTGTGTGTGTGTGACAGAGAGAGAGAGAGAGAGAGAGAGAGAGAGAGAGAGAGAGAGAGAGAGAGAGAGAGAGAGTCCTGTGCACTAAAACCAATTAAAGCCATTGAAAATGAACCTGTCACACACAATCCTCTAGAGCCGCGTCAAAAAAGTTGAGCAGCGTTTCTGGAGTGGATTTGACTGCAGGGCCCAAAGTTTTAAAAGTCAATTAGCTCCCTCTCTCATCCTGAGACAAAGGCTGACCACAAAGTTAGTGCTAGTGATCTCGTCCTAGCTGACAGATGACTTCCCAGCACAGGGAATACTGGAAATAGTCGGGTCTGTGCTGGTTGGTTTACAACATATGTGTGTGAGCCTGTGTGTTGCTACACATTATCGTATGCACACTTGAAAGAATGATTTGAATTTGATTATTCTCACAGTATGTGTTCAGATTGTCAGCTGCGGAGCTCAGATGTAAAAGTCTGTATGTGCATGTGTGTGAAAGAGGATCCAGATTGATAAAATGGCATTCAACCCCATGCCTACTGATTACATGATTCCATATGTATGTATGTACAACAATAGTAAGTGAAACAGGTGAAGCATGAGCAGGAACTCGGTTTGTAAACTGGGATCTCTCCCTGTCGGCCTCCTTTTAGATGCCTTCCTGGATCTCAGCCATTAACTTAATGGATGCAATGTGATTTATACTGATGGAAATGATGGCCAAAACTATAAAAACTAGAAGGAGAGTGTACACTGCAGCCAAGTTGTTTTCTACAGTGACATTTGAGGTGGCTGTTATGTTTTGTTGTAAGTTTAGTCACGGCACCACATTCACTTTAATTACAATTGATTTGGGCATGCGCAACAAATTTAGTTTATTTTGCCATATAAATAATCCTCTCAATAATAGAAGTCACAATAACCTTGTGAGGCAGCTGGACTTATGAGATTGCGAAATCACAAGATCACCCAAAAATCCATCTTTCCAGGCTTCAAGCTATGCTCTTGTGTCCAAACACAGTAGTTTAGACCAGTGAGCATCCTATGAAGAACTGCTGGAAGCTACAGTGTGGTTTATCACTAGGTGTGTGTGACAGTGACTTTCCACTCAAAAAAAAAACAATGGAAGCTGCTAAGGAGATTAGCGTAGATACTGCTAGCATCCGTTATATCAGAACTGGAGAGTACCTCTTAATTAAAAGAAGAGCAACAAACAGCACTGAAGGCTTTCTCCTGACTGGTTTCACTAAGTTTGACTACATTATAACGTTTGTTCAGCTGATTGGCTGAAGTTCACTTGTAATACAGATAGTTCATCCAATCATCTACCCAGTTTTGTTTTTTTAAGTTGCTTTCAGTTTCCAATGATAACTTCCGAAATGGTTCTGTGTAAAAAACCATCTGGCACAGTCAAGTTAGTGTTACAATTGACATATCTGGCGATGTTAACAAAAGTGAAAAATAATTTGTGTGTCAGCCTTCTGATGCAAATCCGCTCCAAAATTGAATGGGTTCCTCCTTGGCACATGCTACACTCTTCCACCAGGTTTAATGAAAATGGGGGCAGTAGGTTTTCCGTAATCCTGCTGACAGATCAACGTCACAGAAAAGGATGTAATACCCAGGAGGTAAGACCCAAATTGTAATAAACCAGAATCATCTGAAGTATAGAATTGTATACACTCTGTCTGATTAGCTGGAAACAGCATGATGGATGTAGACTCAGTGATGAAGATGCTTGTATGTATGGTTTTTGGGACAAAAAGTGACAATGACTAACTGCATGTTGGCAGAAACCCCAGCTAACTGACCAGTCAACGAGTCCTCATGTGTGGTGTGTGTGTGTGGGCCTTTGCAAGCTGCTGCACTGATTTGAGTTGCAATCTGTTGTGTCAAACTGTGTCAGTCAGATGTATAACACTATACCCCCACCTCTGAAATTCCTTGTCTGTCAGGTGGATGCAGTAGTTATCCAGGATGCGGCGAAACTCATGCTGCTGGATGTGTCCTTCTCGGTTGTAATCAAACAGGCGGAACACTCTGATCACGGTCCTCAGGTTGCCTCCGATCTATGGGGTTCACACACAGTGATTGACAGCAACAGCAACACTACACCTCGGCGGTGCCAGTGAACTCCTGAACCCACCCGAGTAGAGAGGCTCAGCTCACCAGAGCTTTCATCTCTGTGAACATGGTTATTGACACGGCTGCCTTGATCTGTGGAAGCCCGGGCCTATTCCCCAAAGTGCTGACAGCTGATGAGGTGGGAGAGAGCTAAGAGGAGATGCAAAGATCGCTGGTAGACACATGAAATAGAGAGAGGAGAAGGAGGAGGGAGGGCACTGAGGGGGATTATGAATGAATAAAGCACACATGGAGAAGTTTATGGTTTAGAACAGCAGCTTGAAATGGATGTGCTTCTGTTTCATGACTGAAAATTGGGACATATACTCACAGATTATCTGATCTGAAGGATGATTTTCTACTCAGTACTAGACTTGTCAACAATGGATATTTTCAATTACAAATCTTAAAATGCAAAACTTAAATTAAATTCACCTAGAAACGTATTCTGAGCAGAGTTTCTAAAACCCAGTGCAGTAGGGATATTTGTAATAGAGGTTTGAAGTAAAGACACCATTTTAGGATATCATCTATGCTGAAAATAGATTACAAAAGTATGTCATTATCAGATTCACATGACAACTTGACAGCTCATTAATTGCTGGGCTAATTAGAATTTTGGATTGTAAAAACAAGGTCATGGGCCAAACAACGCCTAAAAACAATTGTTAGAGATCATGTGACACTACAAATTCCATTAAAACCAGTGCAAATAAAAGGCATTTATATCGGCTTCTTAAGGTTGAGAGGCCTTACTTACAGCCATGGTGTCATATAATATTAAAGGACACAGTGCCTTGGAGTTTTTTCCTTGTTTGCCTTACTTAATGTCTTTAAAACGCAGAATGAAGCCTGGAACAGGACAAGGTAACTTTCTCTCTCTGGCCTGTCAAGTGGCAACCTCCTGGGCCAACAAATTAAGCCAATGTGTAAGTGCTCAAAACTGCAGTTCTTTAAATGGCCACTTGAGGCTGGCTCCAAAAGTGAGTCATCTCCATAAATCCCCATATTAAAATGCCCAACTTTAGAGCAAAGATAAACATGTTTACACCCTTTCCTATAATTATATTAAGGCTTAAAGTTATGCATAATTAAGAGTGTGGCCACTTTGAGTGACAGGTGGGTGCCGTCTCAGGTGGCTGGTTTCAGCAACCAGGCTTTATTTAGCCCGCCTCAGCTCCATTCATTTTTGGATTATCTGGGAGCCAGCGAAGTCAGGACTGCCAAGATGGCGATCATAGCCACCACACTTAGCATCACAACAATACTTCAGGAACCTGTGGGTAACATCCATGTTTTACACAGTTTATGTGGGCTGCACATGGAAAAATTAGTAGGTTGTTTGGAGACATTCAAGTGGCTGTTTCTTTTATTCTTTTAGAAACTTTAATTATACATTTACAGTTTTTTTACAGTTACAGTTTTTCTTTCCATTGTGAACCCCCATTCCTGAACAAGCGGGTTCGCATGATACATTGCAGAGATTTTGGAGGTGTGCGCTTCCGCATCAGTTGTTGTCAGTGCTCCAAAACACAATATCGTCCTGCCGATGGGGCATCAGATCAGAATGTGCTTATATAATAGGAATAAACTCCAGAGACATTTAGACGTAGCTCTACAGATGATAAATGTAAAGCATGACAAGCAGATGATGGTGGGGGTGGTGTCATGTTTCACAAATGATTGTTGCTTGCAAATTGCAGTTAAAAGTCCTACAGGGTTCTCACATGCTCATGCATGAGTCACAAGTATGGCATTTGTTTTGTTTAGTGAAACTTGTCAAAATAAGCAAGAGAATATCTTAGGTGGCAAATCACAACTAGCATTTCGCAAATTCTGTGAAACGGTCCCGACAGCAAACCCTGGTTTATGGTGTTTTGTACACCCAATCTTCCATCTACACCTCCTCCTCGTGACTTCTGTGCTGAATATGAATATTGCACTTCCTGGACTAAGCTCACCAGAAAAATTTAAATATTTGTCGTTTGGTCAAACACTTAAAATGATCTAGTATTTTTACATTTACTGACAAGCAGCCTCATAGGGTTGTATGAATGACTGTTGTCTTGACAAAGTGTCTTTAACCATGTCACTTATGACTCCCTTCTCCAACCAATAGGTAAAGTTGGTGTCTTTTAATTATCCCTAACCTTCCACCAAATATCAACCAAGGCTTCTACAAAACCCTTTCTCCCCTTTTACCTTTCTACAATGTCAGTGCATGTCCACTACGATATGGTTAGGGAAAGATGGTGTTTTACATTTAATAAAAAGGCAAACGTTAACTGCTGGTCTGTGACAGGAACCAAGTTTGTTCATGTCCATCCACCACCCCATCCTGGACACCCTTCCTGCCTTGCTACATAGAGGACACAATAGTCATCATGAGCTGTAGAACCATCCAAAATGTATGTAATACCTAGGGAGACAGGACTGCATTTAATAGAGGGTGCAATATTCGCCCTCCTTACGGGCAAACCAATATATGAGTCTAACTAACACATCTAGGATCAGAGCAGCAGGGCACTGAGGAGCTACAGGCACACAGAGATTTGATATATGTGTAATTTGGAACACCCTGGCACTCTGGGAAGCTGGATGATGAGGTTTTGGATCAGGTTAACATTGTTAGAGCTCAGTTGCAGTCACTCAGGCAGTCTGAGTGAGCGACCCAGCCAAGTCCAGCCCGTCCTGCCTTCCAATGTCTCCGCCATGCACCAGCTCGCTCTGTAGCTCCAGGGCGCCACGCTAACCACGGAGGAACAAGAGCACAGATACTAAATATACCCCCAGTGACTCTTGGGTAATCAGAGTCTTCTGTCGCCCAGAGAAGTCTCCGTCTAATTGCACTCTGATTAGACGAGCTGCCAAGTGTCTCAGTGAAAGGCGTGGAGGGAGCTTCCCTCATGTGCTGTTACGCTGACATTGTCTCTATGAAGACACTCAAAATAGAGCAGATGGAGTAAAGTCAGGCAAAAATACACTAGATGCTGACCTGACATTACAGTTCACCATTTCCTGCAATGCACCAACTGGGTTGTGTTTGTATAATTCCAGATTTCCACGTTTTTAGCACAGGGGAGATGGGTTTTTTGTACAGCAGTAAAACTTTAAAAATCTCCACTTTTTGTAATCTAACAACTTTAGCTGCCGTGGAAGCTTCCTTACAAGCATAACAATTAGCCCCGCATTTACACCACCTTTCATTCTGCCAGAGTCAGGGGAAAGGGAAGAGGCGCTGCACAGCAGCCCGTTCGTTTAAAAAAAGATCAAATGAAAGTGAATTTATTAAAGACAGATATAAATATGATTCCCCCCCCGCCGCCCTCCCTCCTTCCCGCTCCAACTTAGAGGATTCTGTGCTAATTAGAAATGTGTTAAAATCACAAAGGAGGGAGAGAGGAGATCATACGGTATTAATGAACAGAGACAGAGGGATATCATCCAATCTCCATCTCTATCTCCATCTCATCTCTCCCTCTGCACACACACACTCCCCCCTCTCCTTTTATCTGCCTTTGTTTCCACCTCTTCTCAATTCCCTCGCAAACTTTGTTTCCCTTTCTTTCTTTCCCTTTTGTCTTGCAGCCCATGCCTCCCTCTGCCTTTTTTCTCCAACAAATTCCTTGATTATTTAGTTTTTATCTCCAATTTCCCCCCTTTCTTCTCTTTTTTACCCCTCCTCCCTCCCTCCACTCCCCCGTCCTTCAGCAGTGCCAGCGCTCCATTAGGCAGCTGTGTTCTGGTTGGCGTGGTTGGAGGCCTGGCGCTGTGCCGCACTCGGAGTGTCTCAGCAGCCCTCGCCCATCCGTCTGCCCACCCAGCCCCTTGGTCCTTAATTAATGAAAGCTCTGTTGTTTTTGTTTACCGGCCTGTTGTATGCTAATCCAGCGAGCCCTGCGTGTGCATGCCCGTCCTTCCTAGATGTGTGCGTGTTACCCTCTCAGCTGATTAGTATAATCTCAACAGCCATGACCCAAAGTCAGGTCTGATAGCCATTTGATCACTGTGTATTCTCAATCTTTCTCCTCCTAATGGCTCCTGCATGTGTAAAGGGTCAGTTAAAGCCAAATATCAAAGAAAAATCAAAAGCATGTTTACCCGTTTGCCTCTACTACTATCTAGCCACCTAGATTCATAGCTCTGAACAACGACATATTAAAAATTTAACAGTAGCTTTCCAGACACAGTTTCATTTCTTTAGTAGAAAGTATTTCTATTGAAAACTGTGTGGGGTCTATCCAGAGTAGTTGGGCAATATGTGGTTAATGTTGTGAAACAGTTGCAGATTGGTTAGGTTATATTTTAAAAAGATTATGATTTGGGTTAAAACAAGTATGTTACACGACGGAAGTCATGTTGCCATTACTGTGATGTATGTATGTCTGTCTGTGATGTTATGTAACGTAAAAGTGCACACGGGACACAACCCTAGTCTTCTGGGAGAAAGTCCTGTCCATCCATCCACCCCATCCTGCTTGCTCTTGTCTCTTTACACTACATCACTTGACGTGGATGGGTTAGAATTAGATCAAAGTTAGATGAGAAGAGGTGCATCACCAAAGACCAAAACAGTTGTTTTGACTGAAGCCAATGTGTTGATATTGGAAAATTCAGAACATTTCCCTGATAATTTCATTTTGGCAAAATGGAAACCTCTCAAACAGCATTTGTATCATCACTTGTTATAAACAAATCATTCTAAGGTAGGATTTAGGTAGTAATTAAACTAAATCTGTTCATATGTGACATTATCGAATCTTTAAACTGGTTTGCTTAATTCAGCTGACCTGTTTAAATACAGCAAAATATCTTTGATGATTTGTTAAGCATGAAACGTTCTCAGCTGGGCTTAATTAGAGGGATGATTAATGACTAATGCGATGTGTTTGCGCCTCCAGCCTCCCACCTTACCTGCATGTTTGAATTTAGCAAATACTGTTTG